TTGCGAACGAAGTGCACTCAGGAATCAAGTTGTCGAAAATAACCTTCGACGACCTCTTGTTTCCCATCGCAACGAAGCTTTCGGTGCAAGTCAATCCTCCTCTCGATTTGTTCCTTTCCGCCTCTGATACGTCCGTGTACTCGAAGATCCACTCCTTCCTCTTAGGTATCCGTCGCGCTCATATCCACCTTGGTGACCTTTGGAAACGCACCTCTCTCCGGAGATGCTATCCTTCGCCCTGGGGGCCTCCTCGAAGCAATACTCCTTATGGCCAGAATAGGCTAAGGGAAGGGAGACAGAGGGACAACGTCAGACTCAGGCAGATGAGGGCAGTTTGGGCAACGTGTAGCGGCTCGCTCTTTGTGCTGTCCGAGATCGGAAGTTATTTTCAGGGAGAGGTCATCAACGAATCATGGCAACACTTCCAACAATGGATTGAAGGCGGCACATCACAATCGACATATGCTACAAGCTCCCGACCTGGAACAGCATCATCGTCGAGAAGCAAACAGACTAGTGCACCCCTGACAACTTCCCGAGCGTCGGATTCGAGCTTAAACCGCGATAGCCAGGGCCTCAGACGGCATGATCCAGAAACTATAACTGCTGCCCATCGTCGGTACCTTTTCACTTTAGCTGAAGCTCTTTTCCTGACAGACGTGCCATTTACGAAGGTGCTGAGATTCCTGCTCGCAGGCATCGAGCATTTTATTGCGCTTGTGGTGCGCCTAGAAGGCATACAACGCCATATGGACCTAGAAACAGACGAAGGGGTGATCGACTCTTTGGTAGACTACGCAGGAGAGGAACGGGAAGTGTGGCAGGCTCTAGAAGCTGCACGGCTTGGTGTCGAAGGTGGGATCAGAGATGTTATCTTACGCCTTCGAGACATAGATGATAACCGATCTGGCGAAGGGCGGCAATTGTTTGACACGGTCAAGGACAAAGGTGATGACTGGTCGTATCAGTCTCTTGATGCCGAGCCCGGTTTTCAACACTACGTTCCCCGGAAGGCAGCCGGCGTTGATCGGCTTCTCATGAAACTAGACTTCGGGAATGCCAATGGAAGCATTGGACCTGGTGCTGCTGCAGGCGGGATTGCCGGCATTGCTTAATGCACAAGGTATGGCATACCTTGGCACACAAATCTCGCGATTGCATTGGAAAGAAGTCGTCAGCTTCAATAAGCTCAAGGGAAAGCAGAGCCATCAAGCCCGACTGCAGCCATCGATAATGGCCCAACTCAACCTCTGCGTTTTTACGCATAGAACGTGGCGGCATCGCCGCCCTTGATTTCTACTTCAGCGCAACAACTCTAAGCCGACTAGGCCATGACTCGCAGGTTTGGAGCTCCACCTCGGATTCTCCAAACCATTTTCCCTCTGCATTATGCTGTACATGCCCCAGAAAGCTGATTATGAAAGGATGTGTCTCTTTATTCCAAGTTCAGATGCCCGGGCTATGCATGACACACTAATTTACCCGGAAAATCCCGGGCGGAAATCTCTGTTACCAGTTTTAAGTACAATCATGATGGGAGAAGGGAGTTGGTTGGCTACCGACGAACACTCTCCAAGGTGACATGTATGTCTCCTTACTGGCAAAGCCATTTCAGTCATAATGAGAGTCTGTGCCATTCCTTAAAAGTGTTCATCTTTAGCATGAACTCAAGATGCGGACGCCTTGAGAGATACGAGCTCAGGGGTCCAGTCGCATATCGAAAAGGCTTACATCGAATCCAATATCCGATTACCAAATCCCAAACACCTGTTGGACGGACTATAAATAAAGCACGAAACTCAGATCGCACACCTGATCCATGGTCGGGCTTTTCACGGGTTACTCAAACAGGCAATTCCTTCTTGAGCACGGATTTGAGTCTAGTCCGAAAACTTCTTCTATCCTTTGACGGTGATCGACAAGCCCTCTCCCTTTTGTGTTGACCAGCCATCCCCTGACTCGAGCCGACTTGTTCATGAGTCAGTATCTCGCCCAAGGCTGGTGTCATTGCAAGGGGTTGTTCGAAATAGCATAGATCGTCAACCATCGAAAGGCTTGGCAGATCACAGGAATCTACAGGATATTCTGGAATGCATTGATCATGAGCGGATATGCAGCCCGCTCGCCGGACTGTACCTCAGCCTTCGGAATGTCATTATTCGGAAGCTCCACAGAATTGTGCAAAAGCACTACCAATCTCGCCCAGAGAAAGTCCAGTGAGATACGAGTGACACATTGGAGTAAACTGGAGAACAGCCTCCTGGAAGAAGACGTTGCCACACGATAATACGAGGACTCATAAGTGGATGGCTCGTGTGCTGTCAAAAGTCTGTACAACAGAGAGATTCATGACCCGGCTTGGGGAATCAGCAACGCAGCCAAGAGGAAAACCCTGCCAATATCATCAACGCTGGACTTCGATCGACATATTTGGCAAGGATCATGGCTGGAGATAAGTGTCAATGATCAAGACAGATAAGAAAAGATCCTTGGAAGTTTGATGCTGTAAGGGTGTGTTAAAACATTACACCATCACTGGTCACTGGGGATGCCGAGACCGTCATTGGAGGGATCCCGTTCCATGGATCGAGCCTCGGCCAAAGAAGCCGGGGTAAGCTCATCTTTACTCCTCTTCCTTGGCAACTACCCAAAGACCGCTACACTGACCGAGGGCAGGAAAAAAAATTGAAAAGACCCCCCTTGAACTGGTCGCCATAGGGTTGAGATCAGAGATATCCGGGAACCATAGCCGACAATCCTACTTCGAGTAGCATTGACCGTCCTTGCTGTGCTGGTTGTTGGTCAGATTTTGAATCGGATCCAGCTGTTCGGCCTCCCCATACTCGGGAATCCCGTCCTTGTGGGCCTTTCCTAGAGGATGATCGTCATCCCTCGATCAACTGATCAAGGCCGGCAGCCGGACTCTGCATCCAAGCAATGGGCAGTTGGTTGTTGCTCCACGATAGCTCCTCAAACACGACCTTTGCCCCAATCATTTCTCTATGCCACTGCCTCGAGACGCGCCCGCTCCCTGTGGCAAGCTTAAATCGCGGGGAACTACTGATGCACGGACTAGTCCCCGTACCATGGAATTTAGTTAGCAATGAATTGGCATGGGCCCTGAAGTCATCGTGAAAGCAGCTCTAGATTCTGACAGCCTGCCCATGGATGGTATCACGCGGCCAGCTTGATTTTTGCTTGGCCCTTTTCTTTCCTTTGTACAACGTGTATGCCTAGCTTTTCTCGGATAATTGACCTTGGCGTGGGTTCATAAGAGTATAAACTCCAAGTCCGCTCAGTCGAGGAGACGACAAAGGTGACGATGAATCGCGGCCATTCGACCGTGAGGTGGTAGTTTTCTTTACTCATTTTCTTTTCACTCCTCACCTTCATCCTCGCATACACTGCATCTTCCGCAATGCGCTTCACATTGTGTCGGTCGCTTCCGACATTGCCTCGACGAGCAGGCTTCTGTATCCCGTCTTCAATCCTCCGAGCCTCGTATTCCACGACTTCGACTCCCCATGGCGCGCATCACATCCAGACACGTGAGTCGAAATTGAATCCCGAGCACAAGGACGGGCGTCGATTCCGCGAGTTCGATCTCGAAGACCGGGTGTTCGCCGTCACCGGAGGCGGCCGCGGACTCGGACTGGCGATGGCCGAAGCTCTCATGGAAGCCGGCGCAAAGGGTAGGCAGGCCCATATCCGACCCCAGCCCACCCTCCTTTCCATCCCGACTATACTAACCCATCACCCCCCAAAAAAAACAGTGCACTGTCTCGACCGCCTGGAGAACCCGCACCCGGACTTCCTGGCGGCGCAAGACCACGCGGCGAGCACCTACGGCGGCGCGCTGCACTACCACCGGGTGGACGTGCGGGACGCCGAGGAAGTGAACGCGCTCTTCGCGACGATCGCGGCGCAGGACCGGCGGCTGGACGGGCTGTTGGCCGCCGCGGGGATCAACCACCTGCAGGCGGCGCTGGAGCACTCCCCGGCGGCGCTGCAGGAGGTCATGTCCATCAACTACAACGGGGTGTTCCACGCGGCGACGGCGGCGGCGCGCCAGATGTTCGCCTACCAGCAGAAGGGCTCGATCCTGCTGGTGGCTAGCATGAGCGGCCTGATCGCCAACAAGGGCATGACCTCGCCCGTGTACAACTCGTCCAAGGCCGCCGTCATCCAGCTGGCCCGCTCCCTCGCCATGGAGTGGGGCCGCCACGGCGTCCGCGTCAACAGCCTCTGCCCCGGCCACATCCTCACCCCGATGGTCGAGCAGGTCTTCCACCAGAACCCCGCCGCCCGCGCCGTCTGGGAGGCCGAGAATATGCTCGGCCGCCTGGCGACCCCCGAGGAGTTCCGGGGCGCCGCGCTGTTCGCGTTGAGTGATGCTAGTAGCTTTATGACCGGCAGTACTTTGGTCATTGATGGGGGCCATACGGCTTGGTAGATTGGTCTTTCTTTTCGAAGCGCTGGGAAGATACATACGCGCGTGATACATACATCGTTTAGGACGATGCAAGATGGAAGGGAGGAGTGGGGGTGCCCTCTATACCTCATGCTTGTTAATTGTGGAAGTGCTCTTCAAAGAGGATGAGGTTCGCTCTGCATCGGAGGGAAAAAAGAGGGGAAACGGGACATAATCATGTTGCTTCTTACGCTGTTCTGTTGGTCTCATACTGGATTTTGTCGTGCGGGCTTCTTTCCGGATGGCTGAATTTTTGCCTTCACTGGAGCGTTATTGCTTGATATAGCTGAGCCATTATTTCTCACTGGCACCCGAGTTTTACTAGCAGATATCCTTTCTCGCTTACATCAATTAAGTGACTTTGAAATGAGGGGTAGAATGTTCTGAACTTCGATACGTGGGCCTCCTAGGATGAGGAATCAAGCTGAAGGGTCACCGTACCAGTGCATCAGTCGCTACGCCGAGGAAGTGACGACGAGATCAACATCTTCCCACTGTATCGAGACTGCAAACAGACAAGCTTGTAAATGCCAACCAAGCTATAGACTCAACTCTATATTCGCTCACCAAGATGAACAGCAATCTATCTCCCCAAGCGAGTAAAATTTCAAACTCATATGTTTTCCCCACAAACGAATACGCAACAAGCCGGTCCAGATACCTACCTACCCTCACCAAGAACCCCTATCCCATCTCCAAAAGGATCAAAGGATATAACCACCGCCATCGTCCCCAACAGCCGGCCCCATCCTTCTGCTCCTCCTCCTCTCCCCAAAAATCAACACCTCACTCTCCTCCCCACCCTCCCTCCTCTCCATCTCAAACTCCTCATCCCCCGCACCTCCACCCTGTTTCCCCTGCAGCACCCTCCGATTCTCCCTCCCCAACATTCCCCTCAGCACCACCGCCAACACGGCCACGAGCACCATACACCCCGCACACACTCCCATGCCCCGCACATACCACGGCCCCTCGCTGGCAGGGTACAGCCTTGTCCCCAGCAGGGGCCCGCACTGGCCCACCAGGTTCAGCAGCGCGACGCTAGCACCCTTACCCTCCTGCGCGGGCCGGTTGTCCATGCTCCAGGTGATGATCAGCGTGATGGCGGAGAAGAAGCCCGCAATCGCCGGGTAGAGGCTGACGTAGCGGATGGTGGTTTGTAGCGTGGTTAGGTTGCGGTCGGCGAAGAAGGCGTGGTAGTGGCCCGTGAGCGCGAGGGTGAGGTAGGCGGTGGCCGAGACGAGGGCGTGGGCGATCAGGAAGGGGCTGCGGCGGCGGTGGCGGTCCGAGTAGTAGGCTGTTAGGAGGACGGTGAGGAAGGCGAGCACGTAGGGCGGTGCGCTGAGGGCTTGGGACTGGAGTGCGGTGTAGCCCATTCTGCGGTTTGCGGGGGGTGAGTGGTTAGTTTTGAGGGTTGCGGGGGATGGGGGTAGGTTTTGAGGGGGGAGCTTACTCTGCTATGATCGTGGGAAGGAAGACGGGCATCGAGCTGAAGGCGACGTTGCAGCTGAAGAACATGAACTGTAGGGTGTTGTCAATTGAATGTGTAATGTGGAGGTTAGATGGGTGGGCACAGAGGGACTCACAGCGGTGATGTACGCTTTGGGATCGGCGAGGGTCTTTTTGACTTCTCCCCAATTAAAGGGCCCTCCAAGTCGCCGTGATAAAGTGCCACTGCCACTGCTACCCTTGTCGTCCATGCGGAGCTGAGCGATCATCCTTTGCCGCGAGTCCAGAAACCGCGCGGTCCCGGGCGAGTCGGGGATCCAGAGCCAGGCGAAGACGGCGACAATCACGCTGGGGAACCCTTCCACCAGGAATAAGGTGCGCCACGGGGCAATGGGGCCTCCGCTGCTGAACTTGACGATCACCCAGGCGAGGCTGCTGGCGAAGGAGGAGGCCAGCGGGGCGGCGGAGATGAAGAGCCCGTTGCGGAAGGCGAGTTCTTCCCGCTTGTAGAACTGGGAGAGATAGAAGGGCACGCCGGGCCCGAAGGCTGCCTCGGTGATCCCCAGCGTTGCGCGAAGGAAGACGAGCGCGCCGAAGGAGGTGGCGAGCGATTGGAAAGAGGCGACGAGGCCCCATCCAAAGACGCACAGGGCGATGTAGATGTGCGCGGGCACCAGTCGATACATTAGAGTCATCCATTCGAAGAGGATGTAGGTGGTGTAGAAGGCTGTGAGCAGCCACTCATACTGCGAGGAGGAAAGCTGCAGGTCCTCCTCCAGACCGGCAATCTTCGCATTGCCGATATCTGCATGCGTGGGTTAGCTAAGTAGTTTGCCAGGTTGGTATCTTAGGGGGCGCATGGTCCAGGCAACTTGGAACGTACTTGACCGGTCGAGAAAGGAAAGTAAGTATAATAATGCCAGAAATGGAACGAGTTTACGATCGAAGCGTTTGACCACCTGTTGCTCCTCCTCAATTGTATACTTGAGAAGATCGTGGGAAGAATCTCTGCTGGAATTGGGCCGGATATCATCATAGGAATCATATCCATCGTCCAGCCCATCGTCGGAAGAAACCGAAAGGTCAGCCTCGTCGTTAAAGTCCGTCTGCACTCTCAGAGATCCTATGGTAGGACGAGAGAGCCGGGATGCGGAGGGGCCATTATTATCCTCCTCTGATCTGTCGGAGGCCGGAGTGTACAGAAGCCCATCGGACGACGAAGACCCACTGCCGAAAGGGGAAGATGTGGTTCCGGTCGGGCCAGCGCGCAAGGAGGTCATTTGGCTGGATGCGCGTTGTCTAAGCAAATCATAACTAGACCAGATCAAAGCCAAACTGGTTTGGTCGCATTGAACCCATGTATTTTATCAACGACGGTAGAAAGGATAAGGTAAAGTACAGTACAGCGAAGGTGAAGAGATCAGGTTTAGGATCGATAAGAGCAGAACAAGCCAACTCCTCCTCCCGAGCACGTGGCAGCAGCCCCGAAGCTAAAAGAGCCGAAAGATCTGCAGCCAAGAACTTCAGTTCCATCCATCGTCATTAAACAATAAACAATGAATCATTTAGTTGAGTTAGTCACTGCTTGATTAGATACATCAACGTTCCATCCCCGCATCCCTGCATCCCTGTATCCAATACCATGAGCATAAGCACCTTATCGGTCACTAAATAGCAGAAATAAGCAGATACCCCAAGCATCTCCTCACGAACGCTTGGTATCTGGATTAGCTGTCACGAGAAGGACGGTAGCTATCGACAGGGCGCTTGCGTTTGTTCGAAGGACAAGGACTAGCCTCGTTCTTCCTGCCATTACTGGTGCTGTTGGTCCTGTCCTTCCTGTCATTGGGGGCTGCCTCGACGGGACGTCCATTGTTGCCACGAGGTGTATCATGGGCTCTAGCTCGCGGAATAGGATCGCCCACATAACGCCTGGGATCCTCACGACGCGACCCCCGGAAGTGGATTCCGCCTCCGTCATGACGACCAGGATCTTCGAAGCGGCGCTGACGCCCCCCGCTGAGTTGCGCGGCGCGGTCGCGTGCCAGCCGGAAATGATATTCAATGTCTGGGATGAGGGGATGGTTGGGACGCCCGTTGGCCCGAAGGTACTGCAACGCATTCTCTGCCGTGTCACGCAGGAACCGGACCGAGGACTCGGTGTCCGTGTTAGTCTCACTGTGACGGTAGAACTCGTTCTTGGCCTGGCGGAACCGGATGACCAGGCGGTTGATGTTCGGCTGGATGCTGATCCCGTGGCAGGGCGAGCTGGGTCGTCCAGACGCGTCTCGAGTGCCCGTTGTACCTGGGCCTCCATGGCCGGTGCTAGGGTTGACGGTGGCGCTGGCAGCTCCGCTTACGCTTTCAGTGTCACCAAGTCCGAGAACTAAGCGACGGGAAATGTATTAGCATGTAGTCTCCCCTTTTGACCGGTAAATTTGGGGACACGAGAGCGGTTTCATACCTCTTTCCAACTCAAGGTTGAACTCTATGTAGTCGGAGGCGACCTGCTGATTGACAGAGCAGGAGATATCAGCTCCAAGGAACTCGGTGAGGTAGAAGTCTTGCACTTCGGAGCCAATCTGAAATCCATTATGACCTATTGCCACCAATGTCCGGTCATAGAGACTGATCTCGCCGTCCGCGGCATCCTGGGACCGCCGGTTGATGAGAGAAATATGGTTGCGAATGATTCGGTCGAGGGCGTCTATGTTCTCTGGGTTCCGCCAAAGATGCAGCAGAAGAGGAGAGGGCTCGTGGTTAGAAGCAGTCCACTTGGCCACCATCTGATTCAACTTTTGGATCAGATGTGGCTCAAGAGTTGCCGTGGAGAAGAGAGCGGACATCGTCCCAGCTGCGGGAATTTTGTGTCTTCGCCTATGTGATAACGTATGGAGTGTTCTTGACAAATGAATTTGAATTGTTGACAATGCACGTTCAAAAGATAAAGAGATAGCAGGCGACTTGAAAGGCAGATCAGAGGAACGAAGATGGAGCTGGTAGTGCTTGGAGTGAAGGCATGGGTCGCTTAGTCGGCGAGGGGTCCACTCCTAGTGCAGCTCAGTGGCGTTGTGGTGGTAGAACAAGCAGACCTCTTATTTACTGTCTACTTCTGGACACTAGAGAGTTTCATGGTCTCCAAAACTGAACCGCGTTGAAACAGCTGGTGGCACTTTCTGCACAAACACAGGGCAAATGATGATGGAGAGTGGAAGGAAGAGCATAGATAGCGCGCGGCCACTGAGAAGTAAAAGGGTTCGCTTACGAGTATGTGTTTGACAACATCAGACTCAATACGGATGTTCACACACTAGAGGTGGCCGCGGATGTTGAAACCATGCGTATGAAAGGCTGATGTGGGAGTTAAAGAGTCCATTGGGTTATAAACAGATTTGAGGCCACTATTCAAACATACAAACCAAAAAACACAGTTGAGGCAATTATGTTCACATGTTGTTGAGATGACAAGAACAGGGCACAGGTTGTCATCAATCATCACTTGGCATCAGCATCATATCATACAATCGACAATATCAATTGATACGGTTCCATAGTCGCTTGACTTCATCCACCAGCACCGATACTTGGCTGCCCTGTCCATTCTTTGCGCAATCTTTCCAAACGCCGCCATCGCGGACACACCAGACAGACTCATCGAGTCGGAGCGTGCAGCTTGTCTTGACGCCAAGCTTCGCACTATGGATGGCGCTCTCGCGTAGCAGAGCCATGCCGCTGAGCGGCGCACTGTCGCCGCCATAGTCGGGATCATCGATTTCCTGACTAGCACATGCGTTCAAGGCACTAAAGTCTATGCCATGCTCCAATGCGCACTGCTCGACGTGATGGCGTTCCGGGATTTGAGAGTACGACCCAACAAGACAGTTTGCAAAGCCAAGGGACCGAATTGTCGGGGTACGCGCAGTCATTGGACCAACAGCGCTTTCGACTCCCTGAGGAGGGAAAGGAAGATTTGCAGCACAGAGAAGAAGCATATCTCCAATACATTCGGTCGGGCCGTGCTTGCATTGGATTTCCGAGGATTTGTTTGACACACTAGAGTGTAATGTTAGCTCATATGGTATTTGTGAATCCATGGACATGAGACCAGACAGAAGACAGGCACAACTCACTCAGCAATAAATGACAATTTGAAATCGACCTTGTCGCTGATGTGCTCCATCGCAGGCACGACAAGCTGCTGCAGACAGTCACGTGCGTCTGGACATTTGCTCATAATGTGAGCTTCTAGGGGCACTTTCTTGGTGGTTTGCGCTGAGAGCGAGGTCCCGGGCAACGCGGGCATGAAGAGCGCCTCATCACTTGTCAGCGTAGAGCCATTCTGATGTCTCTTGCCTTGGTGACAAGAGAAGAAGTTGATGCCGGAAATGGAGTTTGTCGTCCACAACACGAGCAAGCCGATAAGAGCAACAACCCCCAGATAAGTGGCGAGCCGGGTAATGAACCGGTCGCGTCGGCGGCTGAAGGAATGGGGAAGAGTGGAGTCGGAGATGTCAACGTAGCCGGTGTCGTGGGCTCTCTTTTCCATCTTGGCAGAGCTCGTAGTACTCCGATGAGTACTAGGTTGTGGGCAATGTAGTGCAAGTTGAGGATGGAATGGGCTGGGCTGGGCTGGATTCGGGAGGGTGAGATCAGGGAAAGGTGGTGGGGGAAGATCGTGATCCGGGATTAATGGATGTCAACGAGTCAGCAGCCCGGCAATTTGCCCTCGCGTTACACTTGCAAAAAAACAGCCCAAAAACGTTCATACAGTTTCCCATTAATGCAGTTGTCGGATTGTTAGGGGAATCTCAGATCGTCAATTGCGTAATGCTTCAGCAGTTGGATTTCAGATTGAGGGATTCAGTTCTACTTCTTCGCTGTGCTGTCTATGTGAACCTCGATTGCCATGCTTCTTGCATGAATCATACATTGAGGTTGCATTGTTGCAGCAATGCCGCCGGGGTTGGGACTCAACCAACGCCTTATGCACTCCATACGCACTACGACTTTCGATGGGCTTCGGAGCAGCCCTAGCTGAATGGACGGCTACGATCCACGCAGCAGCTTATCCGTACTGATCCGTGCGAGTCAGAACACGGCATAGATCAGTTGTTGACAGTCCACCCGGTGCGAACACCTCATCCACTTAAGGCATTCAGGCTCCAACTTTTGGACGGTGAGCATATAATTCAATGTCTGCTGTCGCAAGTTACGAATGCCGAATTACAACTGAGACATGCTACTGCCATGCTGAGCTACTAGAGCTAAGCTAACCCGCAGGACTATAACCTACTATCGGAAACCTCAAACATAAGCTTCTAGCCTACAATCTAGCCATGAGGGGAGCAATCTAATATCCACGCCGATTACAAGAGAAAGCAATTTACATGGCACTTAAAACACCAGACCTTTGATTTCCATTCGTATTAATTTTCTGATAAGATCTCTGTCGCATGATCTCAGATCAAACGCCTTTCAGTGAGCACGGTCGTCGCGGACCTGATAGCGCAACCCGTGAAGGAGTGATGGCAGATGGAACTAAAGCGCCTCAAATTAGCTGTCTGCAGGCAGGCACTCCATCCAGAGCTCGGTGACGAGGCCTATCACGCTAATTGACATAAGAGGGAAGCCCTCCGAGCATCAGCAGTATTCTTAGTGGAGGCTCTTGATCTCAAGTAGCACACTAAAGGTCAACAAGGAGGAGGACTAGACTACTCCGTAGTGCATAGCATACAAAGATATGCGACTACTATGACGGGACCCGTTAGCCTATCGCGCAGATCACAGGGCAAGTTGCTTGGCTAGCCCGGAACCTCCGCAAGTGTACCGGTCATCAGTCCTGCCCTGGAGCTCTTCTTGCCCCCCAGTGAATCTCCGACTTCGGAGCTCTGACCGTATTGCCCAGAGCAGCCTGCATCTGACGCAATTCACACCTTCCAAACGAAACCTACGGTGGTGATGACTCCCTTCTCTATCCGAGGACTCGTATGGACATCTTTTTGTATCCTGGGGCTTGTCTGAATGGGGCCCACCGCGCCGTGGTCACAACATCGCAAGTATAAGCGAGGAGTCATCACTGACCCAGACTTCTCGGCTGGCCAATCGGGGCGAACGAACTTTCTCCGGCGAGGGCAGCAGGGGTCTGAGAGTAGTGCCGTCAGTACATCGCAGGTTCACAACTGAGCATTGGCATCGAGGCGTGGTGTCATGGCAAGTCGTTTGGTCGGCTATGCTGGAGACTATACGAAGGGCCGACAGATAGAGGTCGAAGCGTAAATCTCATCTGACTCGACTTCACCTATTCCTCCACTCGGCTGTCTTCTTGGATTAGGAGAGTTTGATCTAACGCCTAGTACGTATCCCCAAAGCAAGGCTTGGAAGGCATCATGTTGTGACTCAACGGACATGATACGCATAAGGGACAAATGGCCCCACCATTTACCACATGGCTAGATAGACGCTCGAACCAGGATGACGAGCTAACAATTTTCTCAACGATTCTGTTTCAAAATCGCGATAATCTGGTTCGTAGTCTGGTAATTCAAGACAGCGGTGTTGGTGAAAAAGAGCAACCATTGCATACTGGCCTCCTTCTGTGCAAGGCGAGAGCGGAACGAGGCAGTCAGTAGTTTAAATGACAGCTGGTGCAGCTAGGCTTGGCCGAAAAAATGATTCCATGGCAAATCAGACCTGACACCAAGGAGGAAACGCGGTCACCAATTGGAAACGAAGGGGGATTTCTTGTATATTGGCGTGGTATTTGAGATAAGAGAGGAAGAGGAGAAGGTGACGTTGACTACTTAGCGGGAAGGGGACGGTTTCCCGGAGGGGAAAAGACCACGAAGGGGGTGTGGGTGGTGGGAAAATCAAAGGGAAAACAACAACAACAACAACAACAACAACAACAACAACAACAACGTCCACAACAACAATTATTTGTTGTCTCTGTTGTTATTGTTGTTGTTGTTGTTGTCAATTACCTCACATCCCACAGGTTCCAATCACAATTAATCGTTGATTACTAGGTAGTTATGGTGAGAGCCTTGGTCAGCGGAACGTCACCACCAGATAGTTAGGCTACAGTACAACTCAACTACAAGTGAATGGCATTCCATATAGGTGGAAGGGGGGGAAGATGAGGGTCCAGAATCAGATCGAGCCATTATCATCCTGGGTCATCGACCGAGTACTAACTAACTACTAGGTAGTTAAGTAGTAACTTAGTAGTACATCCTCCACTCCTTCCATGGTAGCGTCACATCGTCTGTCCGCCGATGGTCGCATCTGCATTTTCCCCATCATCCACAACGGCCGGCGGCTCTGAAGGCTAATACGTACTCGTCACTCTTTTTTCCCTTTTTTCCTTCTTCTCTTTTACCACTTCAACCCGTTTCCTTTTCTTTCCTTTCTCCTCCGTTTCTCCGTCGTGCCCCTTCTTGCCCACCGTCTGGCTACTGAACTACTTTAGTCTTCTTGGGGTGGGGAATGGCAATGAACTCTTACTCACTGGCTGGTCCTGTTTTCTTTCTACTGTACGGAAAATGATTATAATATTTAATTGAAAGTATTTCCACCTGTGCTCTTCCAGCATCATTCACTATCACGCCTCAGGTACGTACTTCCCACAGTCAACCGTGTTCTACCGTCCTGGTGGGGTTCTTTGACTTACAATAGTATGCCTCTGTCCCTTCACTCCCCTCCTCCCTTCCCCTTCTTGCAGTCCACTTTTTTTTGCCAGACTCCCTGCATCATGATCGTCACTGTCGCACCCTTCTCGTCCGGCAAGATATTTCAGCCTTTCCTCTTTTCATCATACAGACAGGCCACTGCAGTTGATAACGTCCGCGCTCGAACCCGTGCATTGACTGTAACCTTAGGAGCTGACCGTCACACTCATCATAGTCTAGAGCAAGCTGCAAGATAACGTCCCCCCCCCTTGGAGAACCTATCGTCCCCGGACCTACGACCCCCACGGAAAGAACCCCCAGCTAGGGTTTGCATCTTGAATTCCTTCAGCAATCAACAGGATCGCGTACGACAGGGCTCACCGTTGTATGCGTCCTATCACCGGGACTGAAATCCCCATTCCTGCTCCCCCACATCCCGTCCTACCTGGAAAACATTCCGCGAGGACAAGCAGATAAACGCCATACCTGAACCCTTTCCTTCCGCCAACTTACCGCTCTGTCGCACAAGTTACTCTTCACCGAAACGATTGCTACCCGCAAGTCACACGCGTCGGTAACTTGCCTGTTCGACCGCCTTCCTCGGCGCGGAACCCCTTCACAACATGACTTCCACGAGTTCTATAGAGGCGGACAAAAGCAGGGATGAAGACCATGAAAACATACACGATGATCCACTCGAAGAAGAGGACGAGGAGGAGAGCGCTGAAATGGACCCCTCACACCAGGAATACCTAGACCGTCAGCGTAAATTGGATGAATTTCTGTCGCCATTGGTTCTGGATGAAGCGGTCCTGTATCAGCTCGCGCGCCGCTTCTCCACAATCTATAAAGACCTAGCCCTGCATTCCAAGGAGCAATTCCTACCGACACCGGTTACCCGTCTACCCACCGGTCTGGAGACGGGTCGATACCTAGCCATCGATGTCGGCGGAACCAATCTTCGGGTTGCCTTCATCGAGTTGCTTGGAGAGGCGGCCGAGTCTGATACACCGCCAGGCGATGCTTCAGCGCGGTCGAGAGATACCCTACGCAAGGCACAGAGACAGCGTGTGAAGCGGACATTAGAACGAGCATGGCCCATTCAAGAGCATCTGAAGATGGATAAGGCGGAGGACCTGTTCTCCTGGATTGGCGACTGCATCGCGGAGGTCGTGGCGGAGAGCCTGACATCGGAAAGCACTCGCGGCGAGATTCCGGAGGAATTAGAGATGGGCATTACATTTAGTTTTCCCATCATGTAAGTGTTACCCAGCGAGTTGGCAGGGTAAATCCTGTCTTACTAACGCAGCCTAGGCAAGAATCGCTCACTGAGGCGACGTTGATGCCGATGGGCAAAGGATTTGCGATTTCATCCGACCTCGATCTCCGCAAAATCCTTCTAAGTGGCTACGAAAAGCACACCAGACGACCGGACGACGAATGTGAACCGTCCAGCAAACGGCGGAAGCTCTTTAACCTCCCAAAATTAAAGATCGCGGCGATCACCAATGACACCGTGGCCACTATCGCTTCTCTTGCCTACTCTGTGAAGTCATTGCCCAACAGCAGAGTTGCGATGGGAATTATTGTGGGGACGGGTTGCAATGCAACCATTCCCATGAAGCTCAGCTCGCTCCACAGCTCCAAAGCAAAACAGGTACAACAGAGAAATCCCGAGGCTGACGAAACTGTGGTCAACACCGAATGGACGATTTCTGGTGCCGCTCCGCCGTTGAAAGAGCTCAACATAATCACCCATTGGGACATCGAGCTTGATCAGGCATGTGCACGACCGGGGTTTCAACCGTTCGAGTATATGACTGGCGGCCGTTACATCGGCGAACTCATTCGGCTCATTCTCTGTGATTATCTCACAACCCAAGGTGGTTTATCCAAGAAGGATCTACCTGCATCTCTTGTAAAAGAATATGCCTTGACGACCTCCTTCATATCTGACAAGGTTGCTCGCTCCCGGTCCGACCATGAACTCGCAAGTGAGCTGGCTCAGGCCCTGCCGCCTCCTGAATCTAGCGAGTGGAATTGGGATGCACCGTCGGCCAACGCTTTCCGCAAGATTGCTAGGACTGTGCAACGGCGATCTGCAGGTTTGATCGCAGCAGCCGTTGTAGGACTCCTTGCATGTGCGCAGGAGATCGAACTGAAAGTCGACAGTCCCGGGGGTTCCCCCACAATTGAGATCAGTGCCAGCCTGGATTTATCCGCGGTCTCGAAGCATTTAGAACCGGAAGCATCGGGAACGAGTGGATCAAGTAGCATTAATGGACCCATTGTTCCGGTCTTGTCCCCCACGCCTGTCCCTGCAGACTGGCAGTCGGGGCCCGAGGAACTCGTGGTCGCATACACAGGTGGGATCATTCAGCATTACCCTAGCTTCAAGGAGATGTGTCAACAGTACATCGATCGACTCATCATGAGAACGGGTCCGCAGAAGAGCGGCAAGTCGGTGTTCTTGCGCGAGGCGTCTGATGGGGGTGTCATTGGCGCGGGTGTTCTGGCAGGCATGGTTGGAAACATGTAAGATGCTGGAAAGCAGATTCGGTAATGTGTAGACAGTTGGCTTGGCTTGGCTTTGGCTTGGATTTGGACCTGCACTTCGAGGCGTCAAGTACCAGCATTTCGGAGGGCATACTTGCAGTATATGCGTAAGGCGTTTCTACGGTGGCCATTGTATTCCTCTTCGATATTATAGCTACAATTAGGATCTTTGATACATATGCTTGACAGAATGTGATCTCAATTGACAGGTAGAGTGTCATTTCTCGTTATCCGGTTGTATCTGGGGCAAATTGAATCATCAGGAGTGCAGGCTAGGGGCTGTATCCTCAAGTTACCACAAGGGGAAAGGTATTCTGGTCCAGCGACTCGCTTCAGACTCGCTCATCGCTTGAGTCACGATAGCAACCTAACGCGCCAAGCCGTCTCGTCTCTCAGATATAGCGAAACATGTTATTGCGCACGCTGCGCTTCATAGCCGTGGGCTTGCCATCCTCGTACTCGATCCCGGAAGCACCGCCGCCTCCAGACATCTGCTCGAGGCGCTCCCGAAGCTCTTGGTCTGCCTGCGAGACGCTCTTCAATTTGGGGTCGGTGGCAGGCTTTTTAGCTGTAGGTGTGTTTTCTTGAGGTGATTGTGTGTTCGATGAGTTTTCGTCTGGGTTATGTTAGTCACAAAACTGAAATCAATCTACTAAAGTGAGTTTGGTGATGATGTGTCTTCCAACTAACCCTTGGTATTAGTATCTGCTAATCTACACGCGGTGGAGGAGATATACTTTATTTCGGATGGAATGTGCGCAAAGAGCGTATGTGGAGAGATAGTCGATGAGCTCAGTCTCGTTAGACTTGAGGACCTGCGGGTTAAGCACAGACTGAGCATCGTGAAGTGATCAAGTTTATTTCTTTCTTCTTCTTTCGAGACCCTCGATTTCTTGGTCATCTACTCTCAACATCCTTATCGTACTGATGTAATGGATGGCAAAGCGACACACTACGTCACATGACCCGACCCCAACTCTCCAAGAGATCCACATCACGTGAAGATATCTCTCTGGCAGTCACAACTCCAACCTTCCAACTCCACCAGCTGACAAAACCGACCGATAATAACCCCCTTCACGTTCCCCGATCTCAGCCCACACCACGAAAAATCCCGATTACTCTGTTTACAATCACCTCGACCTCTGCAGCCAGCCAAAGAAGCGAGAACGATGAGCGCCCAGGCATACTACGAGCTCTACCGCGGGAGCAGGTACATCCATCCCCCCCCCCTCCTCAGTAACGCCCGGAGAAACCCACCCAGACACTAACACACAACCAAAAACAGCATCGGCCTCTCCCTCACGGACACCCTGGACGACCTGATCAACGAGGGCCGGATCGAGCCCCAACTCGCCATGAAGATCCTCTCCACCTTCGACCGCATCGTCACCGAGGTGTTAGCGGATAAGGTGCGCGCGAGGTTGACTTTCAAGGTACTGTCTTGCCTCTTGCCTCTTGCCCTGAAAAGCCAAAGATCACCCTCCTTGCGCAGCAGACTGGGGTCCATTCTTTCCGCCGCGATAGAACTAACCATCCGTGCGTGAACGCTACAGGGCCACCTCGACACCTACCGATTCTGCGATGAGGTCTGGACCTTCCTGATCAAGGACGTGACGTTCAAGCTGGACAACCAGACCACCGTGTCGGCGGACAAGGTGAAGATTGTGAGCTGTAACAGCAAGCGGCCTGGGGAGGTTTAGGTGGTGCTGTGGCAGGGGTTTATTTGGTTTCAGGTTTCTTTTATGCACTCGGCTGGGTTGTCTCTTTTTTTTTCCCTTCTGAGAAATGGCGTTATATGCATTACAGCCCAGAATCTTTGTGTATATGGGTGCGGGGCAATGCGATCTCTTGTCTCGCTGGGTTTGGGATTGGGCGTTTAATATGGGGTGTGTGGGCTTTTGTTTCTGATGTTGGGGGTGAGATATGGGGGAGAAAGTGATGTTCTTATGCTCTTGTTGCGAGAGAAAGAGTGGCTTTTAGAAGATTGACTAAACTATGATACCCAAGGTTGAAACCATATCCTCACATCAACAATTCAAATCATCTGAAAAAGAAGTGAAGGTGAAAGTGAACAGCCAGGGGATAACTTCCAGTTGATCTCACTAAGGTACTGCCGCCCGCCGGCCACTTCGGGTTGGAGACCGGGTGTGGAGCAACCAGCCCTCCCAAGAGGGTTATATGGGCAGAACCTACGGAGTAGATCTAAAAGCAAAGAGGCGGGGTGGTCCCGGCCCGCGGGAGATTATCGAACGCGTTTCCCAACTTACCCGTCGCGATCCACATCGCAGCCAACGCAACCATCCTACCTTCCAAAAGATCAAAGGATGTCTATCCTCCATAACCTGCAGCTAATACCAACAATCAAAAATGCCCCGGAATCTTCCTTGGCTCCTCGACACCACCGCGAGCAGAAAACCCTCCTCCTCCTCAGCAACCCGACCCCGGGCCTCCACACCGCAACCCCGTCGCGCGGGCGCGACATCATCATCAGCAGCAGCAGCAGCAGCATCATCGACCACACGAAACAATGCGCGCAAGCTGACCAGCAGCCCCCCGGGCTCCGGGGGATCTCGGACCCGTCGACGAGACTTCCTCCGATCCTGTATGTTTCACCACACCCACAAACCCACCTCTCGATCATCGCGTTCGCAGCGGGAGTGAGCGAAGAGAACTACTACTAACTATGTAACTGACGAATCCCAAAGCCCCGACACCCCCCTCATCCCCCATCCACCGCTGTCCATCGGAAGAGTTAGCCACCCTTAGCCCCTCTCCCCTCTGCCCCGATTCCACCCCACTCTACATGTTGAATGCTAACCCCCTTCAAAAAAAAGATATCTCATCCCCGGCCTCCAAAACGACGACATCTACATGATGGTCGAAGACGAATTCTACAGCGTCGCCCAGTCCTTCACCCAGCACTTGCATTACGCCGAGTACGTGCGCCGGAAGAAGGAGGTGAAGGCGCAGCAGCGAGAACTTCTGCAGCAGCAGCAGCAACAACAACGACCCACCGATGGGGTCACCCCGCTCAGTGAGGAGAGTAGAAAGCGAAACGCCCAGGAGGAGTTGGCGGCGAGGCAGCGGGAGGGGTTGGAGACGATGACTGCTGGGGTAAGGCCGGTCGTGAGTGGGGATGAGGATGAGGGCGAAGCAGAAGATGATGAGGCCTGGGCGGGGACTTCGTTGCATGAGTTGATGGTTAGTCCGAGGAAGAATCGGTCGTTGGTCGGGGTGCAGGGGATACGGTCGGCGACGAGGGCGGCGGCAGGGTTTGCGCAGGCGGCGGGGGGTGTTGGGAGGAGGGTTGCGGCTGGGATTGGGGGCGCGGGTGCGGGTGATGGTGGGGGTAGCAGACATGGTAGAGAGGATGGGCACCGAGTTGACGACGATCAGGACGCAACGGCGTCCGATGATGAGGACGATGACCTCGATGCGCCTGCGCATGTGAAGACCACACCTCACCAAGTTTCGCGACGACGCCAATCGCGACGCTCTCCTCCGCTTCCAACAGAGGAACACAACTACGTGACGAGCTCGGATGCTTCACCCACGTCTTCATCCTACGAACCCCCTACGGTCGAGCCAAAATCCAAAAAAGCGCAGTCTATGAATGCCACTACTACTACATATCGTACACCGACTCCAACCGCTATTAAATCCAAGAGGAGATTAATCTTTGATGACTGGGACCAGCTTCCAGAGCCGCCGCCCAAGTCGAACATCCAGGTCCAATCCCGCATGTCGTCGTCGTCGTCCAGTGAAGCTCCTCCTCCTCCACCGCAAAATCCACGAGGCATTGATCCAAAGGCGAAGAAGAAATCGCGTCTCAACGAAGTGCCAACCTTCCTTCTCTGAGGTGATGTGTAATTATGATTCCGGGCGCAAGCGCGCGCGCATTGCTCCGTTGCGTGTGTATGCGTGTGTGCGTGTGTGGCGTTGACAAAGCAAGGTTGGGCACCGATTTTCTCCCATATTGATGGCGGGGTTGTTCGTCGTCGTCTTCGTCATCACTATCGTCGTTGATAATGTTTATCAGGAGGATGTAATGAACATTCACTCCTCCTGTTCAGCCAACGGCTTGGGAGCCGCCGCCGCCGCCGTCCGACTCAATCGCCGGACATGCGTCTTGATCTTATCCCGTGTCGACTGTTGCCGTTCGATGGCCGCGATGGCGATATCCTTTTCCTTTTCCAGGGTCGATCCACGACTGTGCAGAGTTGCGGCACTACAAACAAACAAACAGTTAGTCCCTACACCGTCCAGTGCAGTGCAAACAGAATCGGAGACATACTCGTCGTCCGGGAAGAACGAAGGCATTTCCTCCTTCCGAAAGTTTGTAGGGGGACCCTGCAGCGCCCTTATCAGTAACTTGAAATCTTGCATCCCGGGTATGCATGTTGCCAAACTCACAATCTCCAGCACCCGCGGCTGCGGCTTCTCGCGCTTGAACGGGGCCTTAATCAGTCGGCCTAGCTGCCGAAAACACTCCATGGTTTTCTTTTTCTGTCTATTGTCTCTATTTCCTTCGAGGGTGTTCTTTGGTTTGGTTGGGATTTAAATGAGTGTGAGGTTGCTAGCAAGCAAGAAACAATTGCAAACGATCGTGTGGTTGGTGGTTTGGTTTTGAACGAATGGCGTATGTCGCGGTCGGTATACAACAAGAAGGGAGCAAAGTCGATGAAGCAAGCTGATGAAGCTGATGACGACGATGATCAAAAGGCGATCAATCCAAATTCAGTAATCCTTCCGGACAATCGAGTAGCGAGCGAATAAGCAAATGTTTGTCTGCTTTTTGGTGGTTGTTCTAAAAACGGGGGATGGTCTCTAGTAGTATCCAAATGAGTGACCGTTGTGGTTGAGGTGGGGAGCCACTCCGTAGTAAGGCGGCGAGAGACAGAGAGAGGCTATGCTATGCAAGCAAGCAAATGTTCCCAACAACGAAAAAGAAAAAAGAACACCAGGAAACAAAGCAAGAGTCAAAGACAGACTAGAAAAACCCACACAGATAAGGAAATCTGGTTTCTAAACGAGGGACAGGCTGCCGGAAGCAGAACACAGGGGAAAAAAAAAGAAAACGAAAAAAAAAACAAAAAGAGAAGTGCTTTCTCTATAACATTGGGCGGGGAACAGGGACGACGAGGTGGAGGGCGAGAGAAAGAGGAGGGAAAAGAAAGAGAGAGGAAGAGGGGGGAGGAGGGAGAGAGATCTCTTTTTTTACGTGGATCGAGAATGAAGAAACGAAGCGGCCAGTGGGGGGGGGGGTGTTGTGTCCCTTTGGGGGAGGTGTGGAGGAGATAATATATTCAAGAAATTGAACTCCAATTCGCCCTGTTTTTGTGGCTCAAAGGGGGAGAAAACTGAAGAGAGAGACACGACAAGCTGCTGACAGAGTCGGAATTGGACGGTTTTTTCGGGGGGGGATTGTTATTTTTGCTCGCCCGTGTCAAAATGCAAGAATTAATGCAGGCGTTCCTTTTGGTCTGGTAGTTAGTAGGGAATGACAAAGGCAGGAAGGAACATTGGAAGAGTAAGACAAGATAATCTACGGAGTATCCGTACCGTGACAGCTAAAGTTATCCTATAAGTTACAGTCTCCCCTGTGCAAGACAGAGAATCCCGTTGCTCTAGCTGCTCGGGACGCTAATGGGGAGTGGAGGGGGGGATTTACGCGCTATGTGACACATTCCATTCTTTGCTCCTCTGAGTAGGTTACTAGCTTGGTCGATTTCCCTGGGACAACAAACAGTAGTCTAGGTACGTTGAGGAGTACGTACTGGGTAATTGACTCGACTCGCCAAATATGTTCGGGTCCGCCCCCATTCATACTTTATCCCTGCCCCCTTCCTTTTCCTTTTTTTTTTCCTTTTTTCCTTCTTTTGTTGTTCTAGACGGATGGATGTAGACAGGGTAGGTTATGTATGGCCCCAGGGGCAGAGGGGCCAGGCGGATGCAATGCGTTGGCGGGCTGGCTGCGATGCTTGCTTACTTGCTTACTTGCTTGCTTAGCGTAGCGTGGCTTGCTTGTACTGTACTTCGGTGGTTGTTGATGTGATGGCTATTGTCGGTTGCTATTGTTGTTGCTGTTAGTAATTTAGTCTACGGTACGTAACTTAAGTTAGGTCATAGGCGTCATTTCCATGTTTAACCCCTCCCCTGCTCCTCCCAGAAACCGTGGTTCGTCCAGGCACCAGGCACCAAGCACTAAATAGAGGGTTGATCCCGAACTCGACATCATCGAGGCTGTTGGGGCTGTGTGTGCCTGTCGATCCTCACCTGGATCTGATAGATGAAATATGTGACCTGGTGTAGAAGACGCAGAGGTGTAAATGAAAGGACATTGCCCAGGAGATGAAGACCCCTAACTAACTTAATAGGTGCCAGCACTCACTATCTCCCTCGACTCACCATGATTTGTGCTTTACAGTACTCCGTACTCCCTTCCTGTACTGTACATATAGAATAAGATATCTTCCTACATACGTACTACATGCCAGAATCGCCCTGCCCTGAGGATGTCCCCGTAGCAATGGCCAATGGCCCCCCCCGGGGGGAGGTGGAGGGGCGAATTGGAAGGATCACCAAATCAGGGCTCTCCATTCCCCGATCTGGGGGAGAAAGAAAGGGAGATCGTCCACCATCTGAAGCAATAGTCGAACCCTTTCCTTGATACTCACCGACTGGAGGTGTTGGGAGACTCGGTATCTATCTTCATGACGATGCCAGCAACAAGAATAGCATGATCCTGGGGATAAGTCGATCGGATCTGAACTTTGCTGCGACCGCATACACCGAGACAGTGACAGCTGCTAACTTACAGCTGCTACCTTCCGGCCCCTGAAACTAGCGTAATGTACACCGTATGTACTGGTGGAATCCAGAGATAAAGCCCCAACCTCCCCCTTGTATAGTATTCTAGGTACGTACCTAGTACTGTACCGCCAGTAAAAACTGTACGCTGTGCAGTGATTCGCCCCCAACTAGCCCAGCCCAGTCAGCAAAACCAGCCCCAGCTGAAGTTCTGCTCCCTGCCTCATTCAACGATGACGTAGGCTTGGTTTGTGTTTGTGTTTGTGGTTGTGGTTCAAGGTGGTCAATTCATCGGTTGTCAACAGAAGTCACGTATATTGATCACAGAATCAACTCAAAACTAGTAATCAATTGACAATCAAATCGCGCCCCTTGAATAGTACTTACTACCCTACCGTACAGTGACATGAACTAAACAACCCACCTACCTACCCTACCCATGACTGAACCTAAACCCCCCATCCGCCATCATTCTTCACTCCCCTTCCCTCCAGCACCTACATACTGTACATCTACCGTCCCTTCCCTTCCGTCCCCCTTCCCCTCCTTGCATACAACCAAGTCCCTTTCCCCCCCAAAAAGAGACCAATCACCTCCCTCATCTCAACCCGCAAACTCTCCATAAGTTTCCAGTGGAGCAACCGGAGCCCGCGTCGATCAGGAACCGCTCACCCGGCAAGGCGGCCTACCGGTACTAAGTCCAGGTACGGAGAGCCTCCGGACCAAAGACTCGACTCCCAAACCCGTAATGTTAACTAGCATTCATAACAGGCCTACGGAGTAACTTCACCTATTTCACATGGTGCATTCTTCAACCAAACACAGAAACCAAAACCTTGGCAGGGTATGATATCCCCCTCCGTCCCTTCCCCTTTCAGAAATTAGATAAGGAAGTTACATAAGGAAATGGCGAGATTCAACGGGGAAGGGACTACTAATTACCTACCAACGAACCTCATAATAAATAATAACCTAGTGCTCTCCCGCTTGATACTCTCGACATCTGAACACACACATGCAGAGAGAAAAAGAGAAAGAGAGCATCCAAGTAGAACCACCACCACTTCTAATCTCCCAGCATCGCCACTGCCACTGCCACTGCCCCTACGCTCAAATCACCCAACCATGCCAGCTGCATCAAACAACCTTGCCAAGAACAGCCTCTAATCAGAAGAGTCTGGCAAGGCCCACAATATTCCTAGAAACTTGGACACATGGAATCTAAAGTGATGAATCAACCACCGTCATACGCTGTCTGTTTATCTTCTGAAAGACATTCTCATGGTGTTAGAAACTCGGCTCACGCCGGGAGAGGAATCGGTTGGTCTGCACCGCGCTGACTATTTTATGAGTTGGATCAAGTGGTACTAGGTCTAAGATAGTGAAAAGTACTCCGTACAGTACTACAATATCTGGATCCTACCTACAGCACAATTGCAATACCCTCCTGCATGCATCTCTTTCTGGGAATGTCTTCATGATGAATTCTGGTCCTGAACGAGTAAAAGTATGCATGTAGAGGAAGTTACTTCTCGGTGGTACTCGGTGCATCACTACGCTACTGAATCTCCCCCAATATCATCACCACAGTCGTGATACACTTAGATGTAACTACACCCACAACTTCCAGCCCTCGGTCAAGGTAGACACACCTTAAGAAGCATCGTCGGAACTCACACTTCTTCCTCATCACTCAAAGTTACTATCTCAATACAAAACTAACTATACTAGTCCACACAGACGCACAGCCCCCTGTGCTGTAGGTACTGTCCCTCTCATCATCGAAGATCCCGCACCAACCGTGCCCCCGCCCAAGGATAAGGATAATTCCGCTGATACCAATTGACACTTATCCCGATGTTAGCAATGTACACGGCCAGAAAGAAAACAACTTACAATGTCGTCCGCCCCGCAATCCTGGGATGAGTGGCCCAGGACCCGCCAAGAATGATGTTGTGCTTTCCATCGAAGAAGTCGGCTTCAAAGTCAGATTAGCAATCGTCTCAACAGGTAACATGATGCTCTTGAGGTAGAACGTACAGGTATACCCTGGATAGATCTTCATCGCCTCAAACCCTTCATGTCGCTCCAAAGTCGAGCTCGTCCATTCCCATACCCCGCCTAACTCACCGTGCCCGGCAAGTCGATCGCCGTGCTGGATGACCGGGGTAGGGTGCCAGTGCTTGAACCCGACATTGCAGTCGTCGAGGTCCACAAACACTGGCTGGGAATCATGCGAAGGCTTCACAGGAGTACTCAACTTGGTGGGGAGGACACCGTTTCCGTGTCCATTAACACCGTTTGTCTCGCTGTGGCTATTGATCATTAGTCTGACTCAAAAAAACAAAGAATCAGGTGACCGACCGATATCCATTGGGCAAATCCTGCTTGACTCCATTCAATCGAGCTGCGTGAGCATAGATACTCTTCACTTCTTCGAAGCTTGGAATTCGACAACCCATCCATTGCGCATATTGTGCCAGCTCATCATAAGACGCAATGACCGGCCAATCCTGCGCGTACTCCAGCGGCACCGGCCCAAACACCGTACGAACAGCAAAGCTCGCCAGGTACTCCTTCGTAGCGTGGCCATTACTCTGTCCACCATGCACAACGCCAGACGACCCCTTGGGATGGGTCCAAACCCACGACTCTGGCTTTTCGTCCAGACTATTTGCTTGAAGGTATCTAGCATATTCCCCATTCGTGATGGGTCGACCCTGTGCCTGGAATGCCGGGACGGAAATGACCCTCGCCGGCTTCTCGTTGTCCCATGCGTAGGACACACTAGGCACCGATTGCCCGTCATCGTCAAGTCCTATGGATAGGGTCTGTTCTGGAATGGTGAACCAGTCGTTCGGCCTCTCGCGCTCTCGGGCGTCTTGGAATATTCTTTCAAAGTCCGGCTTGGGGACCGCAGGAGGGGGGTTTATCCGCTCACTCTGAATGAGCATGTAGAGAAAGGTCTCGAGGTGCATGGCTTCATGCTCGAAGCCGATCCAAAGAGCTTCGCCCAGCGTCCGATCCTGGACCAGATCGTTCTTCTGGTAGATGGACCGAACGCGACTGCGAACTCGTTCTTGGTAATCCAAAATCTCGTCGAGCGGCGGCCATTCATCTGGAATTTCGCTGTGTGAATGGCACTGTTCAGGGTTGTCCACATCGGGGTCAATGCCACGTTCGAAAATCAGCTGGTATGACGTGGGATAAGTCGGCTCATCGCCCAGTGCTCGAGTGAGATGGATATCTGTCTAGGCTTAGCAAAGTCGAAGTCAACCCAGTAGCCAAGCACTTTACCTAAAAATGTAGGAATGTGCCCAAAGTAGAAAATCAAGGCGTTGCGCAGTTTGATTGGCTTGGAAAGCAGCTTCTCGCGAGGCACCATCGATCTAGTGACGATGTCCCACGCCGTCCAAAGCTTCCGAAACTCTTCGTATGTCGGGACGGCACCTGCCGCATACTGTGAAGGTTTCGTCGGATAATTCAAAACTGCTGAGGACAGGATATGAAGATCTGTAGGACACGCGAGTTAGCTTCAGACCACACATCAGGCCGACTCCAGAGCGCTACGCGCATGGAATGAACAGGAAATTGGTGAGTGAAGAACGTACGATACTCCCCGGCCTCATTCCCATACTCCACCTTATGGATCAACCCAGCATCATGCCACAACTGCTCCCGCTGCGTGGCACTATACTTGTATGCCTCTTCAAAGATCAGCTTCTCGCCCTGCTTGATCACCGTTCCATTGATGGTCACGTCATGCTTCGGCGCGTAGAACGCCCGATGTGTCCCTTCAGCATCATTGTAGTCCGTAATAACGTCCCAGTCCTCCAGCTTGAACGCCTCATACCCCAGCACGGCATTGGCATGAACCAGTCCATTCTCGTAGAATTGCCGCGTAATACCCTTGGAGTCATTGTAAGCCCGGAACACCTTGTCCGGATCACTACAAGCGTCCAGGCCAATAATCATCAGATCGTCAGGGCCCAGGAGGCGAGCGAATTGCCCCAGGAAGCTCGCCGCGGACGGCCGGTCAAAGTTGCCAATCGACGACCCCATGGACATGATCACCGTCGGCAGCTTCCGGTTCTCGGGTCTATCCAGCCAAGCCATAGCGTCGTCGTAGGTGCCATGCAGGCCGTGGAACTCAACGTGCGTGAAGTCGTCGATCGAGATTTCGGAAAAGGTGCGTTGAAGCTCGGGCAGGGACAGATCGAGAGCGTAGTAATCTACGTGCTTGCCGGCCGACTCAAACTCGCGGAGCAGAATTTCAACTTTGCGGAGGTTTCTATACAGTTCAATTTCATTTTAGCTTCCGTTGTCCGGATCCCAGAAAGAAAGATGGAAAGCAGCACGTACCCGCTCCCTAGCTCTAGTAACTGCGCATTGTCCGGAATGCGCTCCACGATCCGCTGGGCGTGCGTGCGCAGCACCTCAATCTCCGCGTTGGTTAAATAGTACTCCTCGAGATAAGTGATCTCCTCGAAGAGCTTCAGTCCCTGGTCATTATACAGCAGCATGGTGGGCATTGAGCGAGTGGTGCCAGCCGGAGGAGAGATTCCTCGCTGGATCTCGTTCACCAGGGAGAACTCCAGTGCATTTTGGTGGATGGCCACAATGTCGACCCTCTTGGTGGGACAAGTTAACGGAGACATGGTTGCAGGTCCGTGTGGCTTGAAGTCTATTTTATAATATACCGAGGTCCTTTGGAAGGGGGAACAAGGAAAGTTCAGGAGGATAATACGTATATCCCAGTTCAAACACCAAAGTTTTGGGACTAGCCAAAAGGCGCACTCTATATTAGGTCTGCGAGAGAAAGATAAGAGACAGAGAAAGAGGTAGGGAGAGAGAAACAAAGAGAAGGCAATGTAGTGTGTGTGCGCCTAAGAATGTTGTTGTATAAATGCGTATGCACGTCGGGTGCGAAGGGGAGTATGTATGGAGGAAAGAGGGGTAAAATGAGGAGGATGAAGAGGAAGAGGGGTGAAATGCAAGTCAGTCAGTCAAGTCAGTCGGCCCTTGCAGCACCGAGAAGATCCGAGCGAGGTGTAAATAAACAGGAAAGGCAAGACCAGCTGCATAAGTAGTGCACTGCCTTCTGCTGGTAGGGGGAAAGAGAGGGGGGGGCCGGTGCCCTGTATGAGTAGCATGTCCCTGAACATTTGTGGAAACCGAGGAGTCGGAATGCAAACAGCCCACCGGGGCATGGATCTTATCGGTCAGCCATGGATGATGAGACTCGCAACTATTGCTCGAGGGCAGTCAGACCACGGCTGAAAGGAGGGGAAGTTGATGAGTTATTTTTACATGGAACGAACGATACCCCACCACGCAAGGAAGGGGATTCCTTGGAGGTCGGTCCATTCATCATGGTTCTGTTTTTGTCCCCCGAACTCCCCCGCTGAGTGGTGGAACGATCCAATGGAGCTGTGGGAAAAGCGGAAGTGACGCAGGCATACGGGTGCGATTTCCAACGAGTCTGACAATCTGACAATAAAGTTGGGCGAGAACGAGAGAGTGAGAGAGAGAACCTGAGGAGAGGGAGGGAAAGAGATGGATTGAGTGGATGGATCGAGGAGTGCATGAGAGGATCATGACGTTGTTGTTTGCATTGCTCTGTGCTTTGTGGTGTTTGCACTGTTGCACTGTTTAGCCAGGGCTGCCAGGCTGCCTGCCAGGGTCGTATCGGCCCCACTCTGGGGTGGAGATCTCCACCTGTTTGCTGCGTTTGGATGTTTTGTCTTCAGCTCACGGACATACTCCGTACTGCTCTACTCCGCCTTATGAGTATCTGAGATCATTCGGCGCTTTTTTCATTGTTGCTCTTGTTGCACTAAGTAACTCAGATCCATGTCTCTGCTTACCAAGGCTGTGATCCAATCTGACTCACAGCAAGGTTTTCTTGATTCATAATCCAATTCGTGTTGCTCGAAGCCTTCAGAAACCAAAAGCAGAAAAAATGGTCCGCCAGATGCGCCAAGTCCAGCAACTCGGTGCCTGCCTGTGGTTGCACTGTCAGATGATCACCACAGATCTACCGTACCGAATGATGACAGGACCAGGAAAGCTGAACAGATGTGATAAGATTAGGGCTACCCAGATCCTTGCTGCGCTGCAGCTGCCAGGATGATTATCATGACCCAGGTCATTTTAGCTCGCCCCATCAAATCTCTCTGGAGTCCCGAGTAAACTGTTACGATGGAGACACTTCGCCTTGATGTCTCGGGAAACCGCAGAATGGCTTGGGGACACGCCTCACCAGAAAGAGACACAATTTCTTTGTCCCACCGCGCTTTGCGCTTTGTCCTCCAGCGAGCTCCATGAAAGAGCCCATTCACCATCAAGCCCAAGGGCACACCCACACATATGAATATAAAAGCCCCTTAGCATCTCCAACAACCTCATAACCAAACAAACCCCAGCACCTTTGGCCACACATATACCCAACCGCGGAGGAAAAAAAATGAACCCCTTACCACCCATCAAGCGCCACTTCTTCGGCGAATCCTCCTCCGAGGACGAAGTGGACCGCACGCGGAACGATGACTCCGACGAGTATCAATTCAAGGACTTCTCAGACGAGGACGCCGGCAACGACTCCGACCTCGCCTCGGAATACAACCCGGAGCCGCTGCCGCCGCTGGACGAGGGCGACACCTCCTGGAAGGAGTACGACCCGGACGAGAACTACTGGTACGTGGGGACGGAGTTCCTGGACCGCCAGTCGACCCCGTCGCCGACGCAGGTGGAGGCCCGGGAGAAGGCGGCGGCGCGAAAGGCGGCGCGTCGCAGGAAGAAGGCCGAGGCGCGAGCGGCGCTGGAGGAATACCAACGGAGACGCGCGCAATCCCCAATCGAGCCGCTGCTGGCCGAGCTCGACGAGAAGCTGGATCGGTGGGAGGTCACCCTGGCCCTGCACCGGGCGATCACCTTCCTCGAGGAGGGCCAGGACCGCGAGGCCGAGCACTTTGTCCTCGAGGCCTTTGCCATCGCCAACCGGCTCGGCAACCCGGTGTGCCTGGCGCGGTGCCAGTACTGGCAGGGTAGGGTGGAGTACTTTCGCGAGAACTACCAGGAGGCGCAGCAGTGCTTCCAGGCGTGTCGGGAGGGGATCCTGGACGCGCCGGAGGGTGAGACCATCAAGTGGTACCTGCGGGTGTCCAGGCCCGGGCTGACCGAGGAAGAACGGCAGCAGATCGGGCAATCGGAGCAGGATCGAGATCGTGCTCATGATTTGTATGGGTACTCGCCGCAGTCGACTAGTCCTGTTTCCGCGAACTTCCATTTCCCCCATCTTCAGGACACCGAGCACACATGGGGGGAGGAGGGGGACGAGGAGGGGGAGCTACCCGGTGAAGCTATGCCTTATGAGACCGATGAAGAACAGCAGCAATCCGAAGAATCGGAGCAGGATCCAAATCGAACTCAAGGCTTGTATGGGTATTCGCCGGAGAACGCTAGCCCTGTATCCGCAGACTTCCACTTCCCCCCGCACACATGGGGAAGAGAAACGGAGGACCGGCGGCCACCCAGGGAAGCAACCCCCGACAAGGACCACGATGACGGGAGTCAGCGAAGACTTCTAACTCCCAAGTCCCGCCTGCCATTAGTAGCGGGGGAGTTCGACTCAGACGGACTCCAGCTGCACCGCAGCCAGAAACATTTCACGTTCGAGATGTATCCGCAGGGCATGGCGCCACGGACCCGACCGACCAACATCTTCCCCGAGCAGCGCAACGAGATCCTGATGTCGGAGGAGAGCTGGAAGGCGTTCAACGAGTACGTGCAGGACAAGGGCGTCACCATGAGCTACCTGGACCGGGAGGGGCAGAAATACCGCGAGGCGATCAAGCGGAAGAATCGGGCAGCATGGGCTGCGTGGGCGGCAGAGAAGAAGATCAATACTTGTACCCTGATGTAGAAATAGACTCTTTCTTCTTCCGTTAGTGTTCGAATAGAAGTTATTCCAGAAGGTGTGATCCAAGTTGGGGATTAGCTCACTGACTTAAGACCGATGTCATCATCAATCCAACAAGCCAACCGAGAGAAATATCTACTGCAACCAAATCAGCAAAGACTCATTTCACCAGTATCAGCATAACAAGCATCCATAAATTACCATAACACATTAACCCACCCCCTTCCCTCTCCAAAAAGAAACTACCACACCAAATCCGCGCCATCCAGCCCCCAAACCCACCCCGCCACCCCCATCGCCCCAACACTCATAACCACCGCCATCAACACATTCACCGCATTGTTATCCAGAATATCATGCCCGCTCTCCACCCGCCGACTCTCATGCCCTTCATCCGTTGTCGTTGTCGTTGTTGTCTCTCCCACCGAAGAAGAAGAAGAAGAAGAAGAAGAAGAAGAACCAACCTCCCCCCGACTCCCCCTTAACGTCGCCGTCGCCGTCGCCGCATTAGCAGCATCCTCAGTCGCCCGCAGCTGCTGCATCGCGCTACTGCTACTGCTAACCCCACGCGCCGGCGTAAGCCCCGCAGAGTTGGCCGAGACACCCGCCTTGGTCGAGGAAGGATGAACGAGGACCTTCTTCCCGCCGGACCCCTCCACGATCTTCCCCGTCCGCTTATCCACCACACTCGCCTGGAACAGACCCCCCAAAATACTATCCAGCACGCTGCCTAGAGTGCCCCAGGCGGTGACAGCCGCAACCCACCCCGCGCGACTCGTCAACAAACCCAAAGTACTGCCGCCCGGGGGGGCACCGCAGAACGGCAAGAACGCGGCCGACGACAGCGCGATGGTGAAGGCGCCGAACATGCCGGCCAGGAGGCCGGTGCCGGTGATGCCGCCGTTCGTGCCGGGGGGGACGACGCGGAAGGTGGGCGAGGTGATCAGGCGCGGTTTCGAGGTGGAGAGGATCCCCAGTTCGGAGGAGAAGGTGTCGGCGGTGACGGCGGCGTAGTTCCTGTGTGTACAGTACACAGTCATTAACAAAAGCTCTCCCGTGGCATAGGACAGGGCAGGAAAGGTTTTCTGATTTAGGTAAGGGAAAAGGGGGGGGGGGGGGGGAATCCTTACGCGACAATCCCAACCATCAACACGTCCGCTACATCGTGACCGTTCGAGAAACATTGGGCGGCGTTGGATCCGGCGGCGGACCGCTTCGCGAGGACGTAGGTGTGGGCGAGGATGAGCACCGAGGCGACGATGGAGTTGGCGAGGACTTGGACGTGGGTGCGAGGGCCTTCGCCGCCCTCGGAGCCGGTCGCGGAGAGGGTCAAGCGGGATTTGATCTCGTGTTTGACCTATACCCATCAGATCCATTAGCAGGGCCTCAATGGGTAGTATCCAAGAAAGAATCACCTTGGTCACTCGGCTACCTCCGAGGTAGAATACGGCCAGCAGGATAAACGGGGTCGACCATGGGTGGAGGGCGTGAGCTGAAGCGGTCAGCCCGGCGGCGACCAAACCCAGGGTGGTGAGGGTTTTGTGTGACCAGGCACGATAGAGAAGACCTGCAATAGCAGGAACAGCGATGACGGGTTTCATTGTCGAAGAATCATGGGGTTTTCGTGGGCCTGTGGGAGTTTGAAGGGAAGAAGGGGAGCTCGGTGAGGCTGAGGCGGAGGTCTTTTGAATCCGTATTTAACCTCCGCGGCTGTTAGTCAAGTGACGTCCACAATTCATAGTAGAGAAAGGTGCAGTGCAGTGTCAAGCAGAACTTACTGGGAACTCTCAGCCTGTTGTGGGGTGACTCCCAGGTCTAAACAGGCTTAGCGTGCCTAAACAGGAAGGCGGTTGACTTGGCGGGCCGCGGGCCCGGGGACTGAAGGCCTTAGTTGACAGGCAGGGCTACTGAGTAGTGAGACAGACCCCACTTCTGATAACAAAATAAATAAACTCCGAATTCGACTCCGAAGCTGAATACCGACTCGTATCGACGTATAATCATTGATGAGACGTTGCCTAAGTCCCTACACATAACCGAGCCCTGAATTACACACTCGTACTATATTCGTATATCAATAGATGATGCTTACTATACAAGGGTGGACCCCTTCCCTACTACCTACCTCGGTTCAACCTACTATGTCAACAACAGCAGATCAGCATCAATAGTTATATACGGATTATAGTTGACAAAACAATGGCTATATCCACCGCAAGGCTCTGACATCATGTACTGTACACAAAGCCAGCCCTGGACACCACACCACGGAAAAGAAGTATTTACCACCGAAACAAGAACTCAGGGATATCAAACCGCACCCAAGGATAATTTGCTCCCCTTCCCAAACTCCTCGAAATCATCCCACAAATCGCGGATGAATTCACATCACATCATGTCAATCGCTTGCATGGGTATAGTGAGAATATACGGCAATATGCAATAAGAATCAATGCGACACCAGCCCATCATCAAAGGGCAAGACCACTGCCATCACCGCTCCACCGGTACAGCGCCAACACCTCCCGGCGACGCTGTTGCTGTTCACCAAAGTCCTCGGGGATACGACCTCGCACCTGCGCCAGAGCCGAGCGCATGACCTTGCGGAATGTTCGCTGAAAGCAAAGGTATTAGTTTAGAAGACATGGATGCTAGGGTCGTAGCAATTCATACCTGATACTCAGTATTCAAGGTGACAACGCAAGCCTCGTGGGCGCGAACAATCGTCTCGCAAGCCCGGACAACACTCGGACTGGCGTCACCTTGCAGCTTGTCGGCGGCCAGGAGTAGCAGAAAGCTACCCTGCAGCAAATAGATTCCGAAAAAGAAGGGCATGAAGCTGAGATCCGGATCGAATTCCAGGATTTCGGCCGCCGCTTCGGCGGCGCCAACGGCATGGCTCATTGCAGAGACGAAAGCTTCGGTGGAGATCCACAGATCGTGATCCTCCAACAGGTTGACCGGATCCCACTTGCCCGCCAAAAGAATGTGCAAAACATGCATGATGTGAGTACCATACGCGACAACCATCTTCGTGTGCACAATGGACTCGTTCACCCGGGATCCGACCGTACTGCTGGAACGACCCGACGGACTGACATGATCCAAATGGGCGCCCTCTCCGATCTGCTCATTCTCCGCGTTGGCTAGGGCCAAGCTATTGGTGTAGCGCGCCTCAAACTCTTTCAAACTTTGCGCGTAGGTGTCTAACTGGTGGGTAATCTCCAGCACCTGGTGCTCCCACTCAGTGCTATTTCGAAACGCAATACCGAAACGTGGATGGCTTCGGGCATGATGGAGGTCAACGATCTCACCAAGGATAGTCATCAGCGGCAAGAAATACCCGAACATGCTGTGACCGGTGCACTCGAGAGGAGGGCCAACCTGGCGATAGCTGGCGGTAGAGAAATCGCCCGCTTGCCAAAGGTCGTCATTCATGGGTTGCAATAGACGCCCGCACTCTTTATCGAGCAGCGTTAATGGCCGGTTGTAGCAGAGAGCCAGATGACGGTCCGTCGCGTACAGTAGCCACCACAGGCGCCGGCGCTCCTCCCGTTCCTCTTCTGTGACATTAATATTTGTACTGCCGGGTCCAAGTCCCATGGAGGCCATCAACGACGTGGAGTGTCGTTTCGAAGGATCCCCTTCGGTGTCGCCCTCGCGCTCGCCGTCTGGTCGTGTATGGGAAGTGTTGGGCGGCAGCTCACGACCCAGCTTCAACTCGCGCGCCAAAGACCATGCTGCCGTCCACCAACGCATACTGGCGGCCTTGTACTCACTTGCTGAAACGACCGTGGCTAGATGCACATATGTAGCCACATCATCCACGGCACCGGTTGCGCTACTCTGCGCACCTAGCTGATCCATCGAGACGCCGAATCCACCCAGGGCGACACCATTGATGACCATATTAGCTGCATAGTTGGGCGATGTTTCCCCCGTTGCCGGACCATGAATCAGTGGCCGGAGTAAACCAGTGGTCAGTTCCAGTAATTTCTGGCAGACACGCCCTCGAGCAGAGGGCGGAGATGTCAGGAACGCAGCCTCACTCGTCTGCGCTGCGACCCAGAGCATACTGGCCAGCAAACCAGGACTACACACTCGTGGCTTCGTAGGATGGAGGAAGGACTGCTTCCGGAAGATGTATCCCACCACATAAGGAGATAATGGCGAAAGGTGTGAAGAGGATGAGCTGGTAAAGTAGACATCAAGGAGATCACAGGCGAGGGATTGTGGAATGATGGACGCGATATGAGGCAGCACGGGCTGCAACACGGGGTATCGTAACGTACTCGAATATGACGGCAGACTAAAGGAAGGGAAGTTGGCGGGAGATGGTGAGGGCAGAGGCAGCCAGCCTGGAGACTGTGCAGAAGGCGATAGTCCTAAGAACGGAGCCGTGGGGTTCTCGGCCGAATTTCCAATTCGAAAATGGTTCAAAGCGGAAGCATTAGGTTCCTGAGAGTTCACCATCGCAAACGCGTTTTCACCAAACCCCGCACTTAACCCATGCGACGATAGGATGGAGGTCGGTAAGGCGCGAAGATCGGCGACAGGCATTGGAGCACGATGCGACTCGTTGTTCAATGAATTGAAATGGTTCATGTGCATGACATCAATGGCGGCCCTCAAGGATGGCTGCGAATGCGGCGGAGCTGAGTGCGCATCTTCAACCGTAGACATACTCGGAGGAGCATTAGGATCCCGCACCTGTCGTGACGGAGGATTGAGATGTTGAGCTGTGTCAAAACCCCCGTCAAATCGCCCGTTGACCTCCTGAGACGATCGTCGCCGATCCGGGGGCGTATGCTCCCCCACTAGTGCGCCATTTTCTTGGGCTGATTGACCGTTGCCCAGCTGGGTAGCTGCAGCCGCAGCTGCCAGGTCTTTCTTCGAAGCCTTCCCTCGCTTCTTACGTTCCCGAGCGTACTCACAGGTCAACCCGAATTCTGCGCCGCCGTCAGTCAGCCTGCTGACTCACCGGGGGACTTGGAGCGGGAAGGAACCAATCTACGAAGACAGAAGAGCTTACCGATGCAATGTGCACATGGGTGTTGTCCGTCGCATTTGGTCCGGAGCGAATTACACTGATCGCACGCTCGACTGATTCTGCGCCGGACGGTAGCCGACACGGAATTTTTGCGGATCGCCGAACGAGCCTCCACGAGGGGATCTCGGTGTAACGGCGGTTGGTACCTGGAGCCAGCTACAGAGTTATCGTCGTCGCGGTAGAAAGGTTGGTCTTTGGATTTGGGCAGCGAGCTTCTCAGCGAGTCCGAGGGCGTATCATCGCCGACGGTTTTGGCCGCGGCCTCGCGCGACAACTGCAATTGATCGAGGACATACTGCGAACCCTCGGCGAGGGTATCCAGCCCGACGGTCTGCGATTGGGCCATGCCTCCCGACTGTGAAGCTGAGGAAGAAGGAACAAATGAGCTGGCGTACTGCTGAATGGCGGTGGTCGACATCCTCACCGAGCAAAGCGAACAAGCGCCCGAGGCATGAGAACGGAGCGGGCTGCGGGCGACAGACGGCGTTTGGGGTGGAGGGCCGTGAGGCCCCAACAGTTGGAGGGGGGTGGAGTAGGTGATGGGCTAGTAAGCACGGATTTAATTTAAGATGTCGTCGCAGCGCTGTTCAGTTCAGAAACTTGGGATGGTAGAATGAAGCAGAAAAAAGTTGAGTGGTGGGTGGATGAGTAACTGAGCCTGCCGGTGGGGGGTGTGTGGGAAAGGGAGAGTGAGAGCAAGAGAGGGAAGGAACTCGAACAACCCAACTAAACCAACAGGCCAGGTACCGGTCGACCGAGAAAGGTGAAGGGTGGGCAAGCCTGGAGGGAAATTGAGAACGTGGAAATTGAAAGATCGGGACGGAGGACGGAGAAGGAAAGGGAAAGTGGAAACCTGGAAAGGGACTTCAGGGAAAGAGCTGAGCCAGGTGGAAATGCGGGGACGGGGAACGCGGGCGGGACTAAGCTGGAGTAGGAACAAATGGGCGAGACCGAGACCCTAAAGGTAACTAAAGGTAATAATAACAGGTTGGCCTAGGCAATTTCGCCACAGAACAGACTACATCCTGACAAACAGTCTCCGTACTGTAGGAACAAGTAGTTAGATTACTGGGATGTCTAGAAGACCATCCGAGGTTCATCTTCTGGTTCCCTCAGCATGCGAGAAGCATCAGCACCAGCATCAGCATCAGCAACACTATCACTAAATCGAGTTCATCAGGGTCGGTAGCTCGATAGGCTAGGCTCTCGTGTTCCTCTTACTGCTGCTGGCAACCCTAGTCATTGGAATTTCTTCTTTCATCTGCTAGCAGTCGATGTGGGCAGTCAGGCTCGGCTATGGGCATATGGTAATATCGAGCTCATCATTTTAGTGGCGGGTGGGGGGGGAGAGAGGGATTTTAATTTGAATGGTGACCCGAATGGGATGAGCCACTAGCTAAGGTAAGGTAATGGGTGGTCAGATCAGATCAGGTTGTTGTGGTGGTGGTGGTGGTGGTGGTGCAGGTGGTGGTGTTGGTTGGAAGAGGGGGCGGCGGGGAAGAAAAGGCGGGGGAAGAAACAGCAGCCAGCAATTTAACTTAACTAGATCATACTGACGGGTCCGTGACTCCGGATCTGCACCCTGCAGAGGGTCAGACCGGCAGACAGTCACTGACAAGAAGGAGAGGGAAGGAAATGGGAAATGGGAAATGGGAAATGGATGGCGCTCACACCCGATACGAGATTGGTTACTTCTGGTTACTGCAAACAAACTCCCAGTGCCCGATTCATCTCGGACCTCTTCCTCCGTGTCCCCCAAGGAACTGGTGGAGGATCTGTGCGTTGGACAAACACAACCGATTCATTGACTTGACTCAACTAATTTAATACTGAGAAAAAAAAAAAGAAAAGGAAACAGAAACCATGGCTGAGGCTAAGTAAGAGTCATAAGAAGGAAGAAAGCGGAAGGAGGACAAACTCTGTAGAATTTATTACTATTGGTGATCCCACTGTTGATGATGTTCTACCCCGGAATCTTGCCCTTGTACTGCACATGACCTACCACATATGTAGAAGACTGATTGGATCTTTGAGATCTGAATAGCTTTGTAACACTAGTGATGTAGGTTCACTATATCTTTCTATACTCAACCATGATGGAAGCCAAGTGTCAATTCTACTACAAGGGAGTAGGGTACCTGGAGCTTTGGCGGGCAACTGTAGCTGCGGTCCAACAACTTGGTTGAGTAAAGAGAACCCTGCTCCATGCCTGAGGCATCACTGTGGCATCTGCTAGCGATCGTAAAGAGCAGTGAAAGGGAAAGGAGTTATTCATGATAGATGTATGTATATACATTGAAATTGTAGCCATCGCTTTTCTAGGACACAGGAGATCCGAAACAATGCCCGTGCTAACTATACAGTATGGAAGCAACCACGCGCCTCCGAAAACTCCATGCAAGAACACCCCACTTGTTGGTACAGAGAGTCAAAACAAAGCACAAATCATACAAGGGATATCAGTAAAGGAGAAATAGACCAGAAGATTCGTAGAAAGAAAAAAAAGGTCACCCTCAGAGAGGAAGGTTCCCATATAATGCGCCCTTCAACAGAAGAAGTACTGACTGTCTCGGATACGGCTGACATCCCAGCTGCCCTTCGTTGGGACCTCGCGGAATTGCATAGGAAGCCAGAAGTGCACGTACGAGACTTGGGTGAGCTTGTTGCGCTTCGGCTTGGGCCTTTCCTCCTCGGGTGATAGCTCCGTGACAAGCGCCTCCGGATCGGTCTCGATCGTGCCAAACAGGGACTCGATGGCGGGATCCGACTCGTCAAATTCCAGAGGATCAGGGCCTCGACTGGTGATATCGGCATTTTCGGGAATGTGACCAACAGCCGTCGCACCCAGCGAGGTGGAGATAGACAGATCCTTGTCTTCGCCAAGCGATTCAAAGATGCTGGCGGGGGTCACCATCGCCCGGCCCTGGGCCTGCAACTCCGGATCGTCGGACTTCAAGAATTTCTGTCGCTTGTATTCATCGAACAGCTCGAGCATCTTCGAGCTCTTTCCTTTCTCTCTCTTACTCCTGCGGAGCTCGTTGATGGCTTTGCCAATCCGACTGCGGCTACGCACCTTGGCAAGGAAGAGGTTGTCCCCGTAACGGACCTTGAACTCAGCATCCAGTCTCTTAACGACGTCGTCAGAATGCATGCGCACAAACGCCTCCCGAAGAAGCTCGTTCATCTGGTCAATGTCGCAGGCGTGCGTCCAGAAGGAATCGTGGACGGCTGAAAAGCATAGACCCGCCTTGTGGCACGCAATGGCCGATAGCATCATGTGTGTGGCGTCAAGGGAGTGAATGAAGTTGGGAGGGAAAGCCTGAAGCTGCTTGCGGGCCGAGACAGTATCATCCGCGTTGGTATCGATAATGCTCAAACTCTGCAGACTAGTCGCGATACGTCGTGACGAGCGGACTCGGTAAGGCTGGACCACGGGCAATCCCAGAGGAGTTGTCCAGATAACCGTGGTTCGGAACTTCTTAGAGGGGTCCATGTTGGCGGCACTCGCCGACCCCATGGCTTCCTGCATCATTTCTTCGATCTGAGACGGCGACATGGACCGAGTGATACGACTGGCACAATCTCCCAACCAGTATTGAATCTCGTGGGCACCGTTGAACATTGAGCCCAAAGCCTCGAAAATCTTGCGCGCGATATACAAAGCACCTTCAACTCTCTGCTCAGGAGTGAGGTCCGGATAGTGGTCGACAAGCTGCTTTCGAACTTGTTTCATGGCACCCATGAAGGTGACACCATAGACGTTGGTCATGACCGTTTGTTTCACGATCTTGCGGGTGATCCGTCCTTCGAGGTATTTGGCGACTGGGTTGCCGTCGGCGGCATCCTGGGCGACGGTTTTCTTGACAAACTCCGCCACACCACTGTAGACGTCGGATGGACGATCGGAAGGCTCAAGGTTGACTTGCTGAGCGCCGACCTTATCACCACCCAGCGCAGCATAGTGTTGCAGTCCGTTGCAAGATCCATCCTGATGAATGGGCAATTGCGACAGGTATTGAGTAGGGTCTGAGAGCTTGAGCGCATTCCTCAACTCGCAGCAGGCAGCCAGGCACTGCCAAGGGTCTTCTGCCTTGAGCCACCAACGCCGGCCTTTGAGGCCATTGTTAGCAGAGTCCAGTACATCGTCCAGATGGTCCATTGTGAACTGTTCGCGCTCAGGAAGGCTGGCCTTGTCGAATCCTGACAGGTTGGCGATCTGAATTTTCAACCATCTGAGACCCTGCGGGCCGAGCGGCTTAGCTTCACTGAAAAGCAGCAAGCCTCTGGCATTGTCGGCGCCCATCTGGTTGAGGTAAGGCGGCAGAGGGTACGCACGGCCACGGAAATCGATATTGTGAGGGAGGTAGAATGTTTCATCGAGGTAAGCGCGGGCGATTTCCATCTGGAAGTTCTGGAAGCAACGCTGAGAATGGATACCGGATTTGCGATTCTCCATGAGTTGGACAAGCCGATCCCACTTCTTTTCAGCCTCATAACCTTCTTCCGCAGACGGCCTTTCGGGAGGGGTCAAGTTTGGCTCCAGGGCAGCGAGATTCGCTAGGGCTTCGCCGGAGTTCCACGCTTCAAGCATGACATCAAAAACTTCCCGGTTGATAACCCAGCCTGTAGACCCTAGGATATCTAGACTTTGCCGAATCTTTTCAAGCCCATTGCTCTTGATAGCAGCCTTTACATAGGCCTGTTGAAGACCCTCGCCCGGTGTCGAACGAATTAGCTCACTCTTGTACACATAATAGGCGCCATCATCCAAGCCCTTCCAAGGCTTGGGCTCGCAAACCATCGGCAGATGGCGGCTCAGGACGTCGGCGGGAGGCTCCCTGAGCAAGACTTCGACGACGGACGGATGTAGATGGATATAGCCAGCGCGTTTGCCCCAAGTGATCTGGTAATTATGCTGGAATGCAGGTTGCATGGTGATTTCCTTCTTCTGGGTCTCAGGATTGATGACCTCCACTGGGGCCTTGGCAACGTCGAAGAGAAAGCCCAACAAAGTGGCGCCGACCTTGGCTTTCACTCGAGGCGACCAAGAGATAGACGGGTCCTCTTCCTCAATCTTGCGCGAAAGGTGATACCAGCGCGCTCGGCCATCCTTCTGCTTGCGAATCGCAACCGCCTGTCTGATATTGCTGAGGCCTTGAGAAGACTGCTTCTCCTTTTGTTGTTGTAAAGTTCTTTCTGCCAAGATCTCATCGTGGTATTCCGAGCCAATACCGTAAGCAATTCCGGCCAACTTCGTCCCTTGGTCCACTCCCAGGCGGCTGAAGGTGGATATGACACTCAGGATCGTGATTGCTGCAATGCGATCCGCCTTCAAAGCACTTAGGTAAACACCATACTCTAACAAATCAAGTTCCGCTGCGTTGATAGACGCCCCAGGCTTGGCAGATAGCTTGCTGAAAGACTCGATCTCTTCTTCGATTTTTGATTCCAGCCCAGTGAGCCATTGGTCGATGATCGGTCCTAAGCGCTTCTCAGCACCATCAAATCCACGCTTTCTCCTTGTGTCACTCTCGGCGCGCCAACGGTTTAGCGCAGACTGGATGGCATCTTTTTCAAGCTGGCGCTGCCGGGCCTCCCTATGCTGACGCATCTGGTCCTCCACGGTGCCTTCCTCGTGAAGGGGCATTGAAACTCTGGAGGGGTCGGAGAAGAGTTCGAGTGATTCCTGAAGCGAAGAAAGACCGAGACCTTTCTGTTTGACAGCCTTGACCTCCACAGCCTGAGACTCGGCGACCGAGGCATCATCGCCGGTTATGTTAGAATTGAAGTGACCCATGGCCACACGTTGCACGTCGTCAGAACAGATCTACACGAATAAGACGATTAGCATGTCTTCATTGATAGCGAGAACGAAGGGCAGTGAGGGAAAAAATGATATGAAGGGAGGGGACCGACCTGCGACAGCTCGCCCAAATCCGACTCCGAAAAGACAGAGTCCGCAAGAACTCGTTCCTCCAAAGATTTGCTCTTGGCCAATTCCCAGTACCTGCGCACGGTTCTGTCGCGCTTGGAGCCGTGAAACATGCGGAGGGCCATCCGAATCATGACCGCGAAAGTTGTAGCATTGGGCTCGAGACCGTGTTCTCGAAGTTCCACTTCGAAAAACCTTTGGCAGGGAGTGACCAGTTCATGCTGCCGGGTCACGGACATGTGCGAGACGATCTCGTTCAGGTGGCGGTTGCACAAGGCAAGGTACTCAGGTGATCCGGGAGGATAACAGTCCTTTAAGCGACTGATCAGTGTAGCAGATCTCTCATACTGGTGGATGCGAAGAGACACATCAAGGTTGGCAAGCATTTCATCCGCGTCACCGCCCAGGCCCTTCACTTTCCGTTGCACCTTGGGCCTGGTTTGCGCAGCCTCGTTCACAATGATCAAAGAAGAACTAGCGAGCCCCTGGGGATGTGGTTTGAAAAAGGGAGACAGCCTCTGATCAAAGAAGCTGTCGCCAGGGAAGGAAGACTCCTCGGAGGAGGCAGTGTCGAAAGGGATATATGAGCCTGACCCCTGACTGAGCGCGGACTGGTCTGCGGCGGTGGCAAGGTTTCGGTTTGAGGTCAGGGAAGGTCGGCGAGAACGGTCTTGCGTGATTGTTGTAGACGAAGTGTTTGTGAAAGAGGCTGATCGAGTTGACTGCGAATGAAGCCTCAATGTTGCCGGTGATGGCAAGGCCGAGCGGCCGGTAACTCGCACGCGAGCCAAAGCATTTTTCCGAAGAGCGACGCGGGACAACATGGTAGAAGAGATGTCGCTATTAAAGATATAAAAACAAGGCTCATGCAATTCGACAGTGATTAATCGTGAAGTAATAGGATATTATGTATGGAAGAAGAGGGTAAAGCCGAACGCGATGGCGAAGGCACGGAGAAAGACAGTGTCAACGAGGATGATGCAGGATGGGGGATTGGAGTGATCAAGAGCGAGCTTATTGCCAGGCAATAAACTTCAATTCATCAATTCCAATCGATAGCCGCACTGCAGCCCGCCGAAGACGTAAAGGAGAAAAGAATGAGAGATAAGGGGGAAGAAGGAAGAGAGGATAACAATTGTGAAGGCAAATTGGAGAGAGAAAAAAACCCAATCTACTTTTCTTCTCAAAAGGACGGGAGGAAAAATAAGTAATTGTTTTCTAGCAGCAGCAGAACTTCGGGCCGGGGAGAGGCGATAGCACTGCACATGACTGCACGTGACCTTCTGGAAGCGCGATAAGATTTTCGCTGTCCGGAGACCTGATTGGCCAGGACCATCTCTAGTCGAGATTCTTCGAGTTTCGGCGGAGGCAACTGGAAGAGAAATTGCTCCACATGAGTGTGCTCACGGAGTCAAGCCTACTGCGGGTATCCAGCTGGAACATCTCAATGAGAAATTTATACACTTGAATTGATTTTCGCCGTGCGTGGTGCTCATCATTCCTCAAACAAGTAGGTCTCGTATCTCTAAGTTACTCCGTACAGTGATATCTCGGTACTAGCAAAAAAATAATGCAAGTCATTGCCCTGTCGTAACCCATCTGTAAACTAACATGCCTATACCTACCTATACCTACTGCTGCCCACCGTCCCCAGCAGCCCCCTCCCGGGGCAATGCCTCCTCGCGCTGCTTCTTGCGGTTCTGCTTCATCGCCCAACCCGTCAACTCCGGCCGAGCAGGGTCGATCCGGGGCGCGCTCATCTTATCCAGATACTCCTCGGACTCGATCGCCGACTGCAGCTGCGGCAGAGTCTCGACATCCTGATGCATCATGTAGTTCTCGTATAGTTGCCACGATTCCTCGGTCTGTTTTCAACCAGAAAGAACATCAGCATGCTGTCCTGTCCTGTCCTGTGCTGTCCCGTCCCTCTCTTACGGGATCTTCTTCTCGAGACGCAAAACAAAAAACAAAAAAACTCACCTCAGCATCCACCCACTCATAATCCCTCCACTTCTCATCCTGCATCTGCTTCAAGAGGTCCAGGTTGCCCGCAACCGTAGCCGCTTCCCCATCCTCCCCGGCCGCCTTAATCTTAACATCGATGGCGCGGGCCTCATTCTCGCCCGCCGGCCCCGCCCGCTCCTCCTCCCCATCCTTGCCGCGACCCTTGCCCTTCCCCTTGGCCGGGATCTCATCCAAGGCATCGAGATGATGCAATTGGGGATGCAACTGCACCACCGCGGTCACCGGCGACAGATGAAGATTTTCTAGAGCGAATTAGCCTCATCCTTGAACCCCCGAAAAAAACCCGGGACGGAACCAGCCAGCAAAAGAAAACTCACCCCCCCGAAAAGCCCCCAACATATAAACCGGATCACCGCCCTCGAACCCCTTAATCCGCCCACCCAGCGTCTGCACCCGCAACAACTGCGCCGTCTCCTTCCCCTCATCGACCTGCATCGGACCGGCACCGGCACCTTCCATCTTGACTTTCCCACCAGCACCACCACCACCACCACTGCTCCCCCCAGTACTGAACCCCCCGGCCATCCCGTAGGCGCCCCCCTCCCTGGCGCGCTGGGATCTCTTCAGCGCATCGCCGTAGCGCAACCCCTTGCTGACGTCGTAGTTCACGCGGGTGTTGATGGGCACGTCGACCTCGACGAGGCCCGTCGAGGGCTTCAGCCGGAAGCCCGTGGGTTTCTGACCGTGACGGTCGTCGTAGCTGTACCCCGTCGGGCGGTCGAGGTACTGCAGCACGTAGCGCGAGATCTCCGAGTCCGTGAGGTAGATGTTGTAGGAGGCGATGATGGGGTCGTCGTCTTGGGTGTTGGGGGTGGTCATTGTTCCGGTTTTCTCGGTTCGAACGGGGGAAGAGGGAAAGGGAAGGTCGATGGTAATTGTCAGTTGTGATTAAAGCGCTGTGTTAGAATTAATCGTGGAAATGACAGCGGGGAAGCTGATGATGTGATGTGCCTCTCTTTTTTTTTTTTTCGCAACCGCCTTTTTTTTTATCGGAGGCGGAGGTTGATAAGACTGTCCCCGCGGTGGGCACTGCAGTTGATACCGCCTTCCATTTGTAGAATGAGTGTCGGTACGAGTCTGCGGCGCCCACCAGTTTTGCAGCAGTGAACTAGGAGATTAATCACATGGTGATCATCCGCTTCAATGCTGACTACAATTTTGTTGAGCTACAGGAGCAAGGGGAAAAAATGAGAACTCAAGATAGTTGTATAGGAACAATTAGTCATCAAAAGTATGTACAAAGAGCTAGCTGTATCATCATCCAAGATCATAAACAGTTCGTTCAAATAAATATTTTTCTCAATGATGCAAGGAGAACAATGCGATACAGTATATCTTGATCGCTATATCTCATCGACGAGCATCTTACTCTTCATCTTCCTCAGCAACCTGAAAAGATGTTGTTAGCGAAGTACTTCTTATAAAACAACCAAAGATCAACTTACTCCTTCGTGGAAGTTCTGTCCGTCAGTCGTCGCCTTGATCACACCAGCACGGATACACCAATCTCCGAACCTCTCCGGTACCTCGCCGTCGGTGTTGCGCTCGGCAGCGTAGCGCTTGAGGAGACCCTTCATGATGTCAAGGATCTCGTCCTCCTTGATCGAGGAGCGGTACAGCTTGTTCAGACGCTGGCCGTGGTAGCCACCACCCAGGTACATGTTGTAAGCGCCGTACGCCTTACCGACGAACGCAACCTCAGCAAGCCAGGGTCTGGCACAACCGTTGGGACAACCAGTCATGCGCATGACAATGCTGTCCTGAGCGAGACCGACCTCCTCCAAAGTGGACTCCAGCTTGCCAATGAGAACGGGCAGATAGCGCTCAGACTCGGCCATAGCAAGACCACAGGTGGGGAAGGCAACACAAGCAGACGAAGACAGACGGAGACCGCTGAAGGCAGTGTTGTCAAGCTTGTACTTGGCCATCAACTCTTTAACCTCGGGCAGATCCTCATCCTTGATGTTGGAGATGATGACGTGCTGGTTACCGGTAAGACGGAACTCACCCTTGTCAAGCTTGGCGAGCTCGCGCAGACCGGTACGCATCTTGAAATCGGCGGTATCCTCGATACGACCGTTCTCGATGAAGCAGGTGAAGTGGTTCAGACCCTTCTCATCCTTGAGCCAGCCGAAGGTGTCGACATTGGAGTCGAACTTGAAGGGACGAGGCTCAGCGAAGCGCAGGCCCTCCGGAAGAAGAGCCTCCACCTTCTCCTTGTAAGCCTCAACGCCCATGTCGTCAATGGTGTACTTGAGACGGGCGTGCTTGCGGTTCTTGCGGTCTCCGTGGTCACGCTGAACAAGCATGATCTTCTCACAGACAATATGGGCCTGATCCGCAGGGACGTAACCGAACATACGTCCAGTCTGGGGGTAGGTCTTCTTGTTGTTGTGAGTGGTACCCATACCACCACCAGCAATGATGTTGAAACCCTCCAGGTGTCCATCAGTGCCCTTGATGGCAATCAAACCAATGTCGTGGGCGTAGACATCGGTGTCGTTGTGAGGAGGAATGGCAATCGTGATCTTAAACTTGCGAGGAAGGTAGGTAGGACCGTACAAGGGTTCGTGGTCTACGACAGCATCACCAGCAACCTGGACCTTCTTGTCATCATCATCCTTGAGCCAGATCTCGTGATAAGCAGAGGTGGCGGGGAGAAGGTGGTCGCTGATTCTCTGGGAGACGGCATGGGCTTCGCGGTGGAAAGTGGAAAGCTCAGGGAGCGAACTGCACATGACGTTACGGTTGACATCACCGCAAGCAGCGATGGTAGTCATGAGAGACTTGTTGATGGCACGCATAGCGCCACGAAGGTTGCGCTTGATGACACCGTGGAACTGGAAGGTCTGTCTGGTAGTGAGCTTCATGGTCTCGTTACCGTGGGAGCTGCTAATAGCATCCATCTGCAGCCACTGCCAAGGAGTGGCGATACCACTCGGCAGACGACAACGGATCATGAAGCTGTAAGCAGGCTCAAGGCCCTGAGCCTTACGCTCGTCACGAACATCACGGTCATCCTGCATGTAGGTTCCGTGGAACTTGGTGAGCTGCTGATCACTAGCCGAGATGGCACCAGTGCTCTCGTCCAGAAGACCCTCGGCAATGGTACCACGCAGGAAGTTCGATTGAATCTTGATATCTTCGTTGGTCAACGGAGCAGGCTCCTCCGGAAGACCCTCGACCTTGTCAACGCCAAGAGCCTGCCAGAGACGAGGTTCCCATTCAGAGTAGCCAGTCTGATAAGCATCGGGATCCTGGTCATCACCCAGACCAATATCGGTAAGCTTGCGGCCGCCCAGGAAGGCAACGCGAGCATCGAGATCCTTGGCAGGCTTGTTGTAGTAGATCTTATCTTCCTTGCGGGGCCAGTAGTGGCTGTCACCGAGACCAAAGACGGAGTAGTTGATGGAGGACAGATCCAAGTCGCCAGAGTTCTTCACAAATTCCCAGAGACCACGGCCGTTCTGGGGGAACTCTCCCTGACCAGCAGTGCTGGAGATGAAGACCACGTTCTCCTCAGTGGCGAGGTCTTCGGTGGGGTAGTCATCCATAGCCAGAACAAGGGTCTTAAGGCCTCTAGCGCGACCACGGTTACCGAGGCGCTTGGCAATGTTCTGTGCATTACCACCATCCGAGGCAAAAAGAATGGTCAGAGGAGCACCGAAGAGACCCTCGAGCAGCTTCTCGTAAGAGTCCTTGGCCTGGCGCTTCTGCAAAGCACGGACTTCGGTACCATACGACTCGGCAAGGACAGAGGAGAATTTGGGTTGGCGGTTTGTGAGCTGCGTAAGCTGGTTGTCACGGCGCAGGAACTCCTCAAGTTCACGTCTGATACGGTCAGAGTCCAAGATAAACTTGGCCTCACCCTTCTCCTCGTTGGCGGGGTTCCAGCGGTACAGGGGCCAGTATCCAAGGTCAACAGCCTTCTTGGTCTCCTGAAGAACAGTCAAAGCGGAGTCATTCTCTTGGTTGTAAGGCAAGTAGGCGACGATGACGGAGGGTCCCTCGAACTTCTCGGCCTCGGCCATAGCCTGGAGCACTTGAGTGTAGGAGCCGTACACAGCGACGGAAGCGACGTAGGCGTTGCCATAGTTCATGGCATACAGACCGATATCCTTCTTTCTGCGGGTAGGATCAGCTGCGGTGCGCTCAGAGTAAGGCTGAGAGTCAATGATAAGCATGTTAACATTGGCTCCGGAGGCGAGAACGTGGTGAACACCAGAGTTTCCGAGATCGTAAGCCCAGGCGTCAGAGCCAATCAGCCACAGAGACTCGTCGTAGAAGAGCTTCTTGGAAGCCAGAAGCTGTCTAGCGAGCTGGGAGCCGTCGTTGGACAAGCGCGCGATCACATCAGGAGCCAGCTTGTTGGCTTTGGAGGCATCAGAAGCGCTCAGAGCCCACTTGGACAGCCAAGAGCGGGGAACATCAGTGGCGAAAGTGGAAGCCTTCGAAGCATCTTCAACCTCGCGGATGAAACGCTTGCGGTGCTCCAGACGGGCAATCAAGGCACCAAATCCGTATTCGGGGCTAGCAGCAATAGTGGCGGAGATACCAGCGTTCTTGGAGCCCAGCTGGTTGGCGACGTGAAGGCGCTCACCGAAAAGCTGGTTCAGGATTTTGATGTAGGCATTCTCGATGTGGGGCTGCTCGAGGGAGCTCTGGAGAGTAGGGACCTTGGAGCTTCCGATTTCCAAGTTCTGGATGGGAGAGGGGGAGTTCAAGTTCTGAACGATGCCACGCAGAGCCTGGACCGCAGTCGAGGGCTCAACATAGCCAAGTCTGTAACCAACAATCTGGGGGGTAGGCCGACCGGCTGAGGAAGGAGAGAGGCTGGAGAGGAGATCCATGAACGAGGGACCCCACTTGGTGGTCTTACGGACCTGCTCCAGGACTGCAATCTTCTCCACAGAGCTGGGAATAGAGTTGATGATCTGACCACCAACCCAGGGGCGGTACAGGCGGGCAGTGATCAGTCCCACACTGCTCAGCTCACCAGACTCCTCCTTGCCCAGAACATCCACAAACACACCGGTCGAACCGAACACAAAGATAGCCGACTTGGCATCAGAGGGGCCGGTGTACTCGATAGCGCGGTAGTTGCGTCCGACAGCCTCGGAAAGACTCTTCCAGATCTGAGAAGTCCACTCAAAGACATCAGCAGCGCTGACGGGGCGAACCGACGAAGCATCAACCGTAGTGGCAGCAGAGCTCGATCCGCGGCTATCAGTGCTGCTGTCCCGGCGAGAGGAGCCAACAGAGGAGGTATCGATGCTAAGGCTGGCAGAGAGCTGCGAGGCTTGAGCAGGGGTGGAAGTGCCCCCAGTCTGTTGATTGGTGCTCTCAGCGGCATCCTCCGAAACGGTGGCGACGCGGCCTGAATCAGTGTACAGAGTCTGGACACCCGATCCTGCAGTATGGGTGGCGGCGTCTGGGCCTAGGTTCAATAGAGACCGTACGAGGTCGGCGTTCTCTTCTGGGATAGCATCATCGCGGGCAGAGTTGGCAGGGTCAAAGAAATGAATGACGCCCTTGCCAGACTTGCGGGCCAAGGCATGTGCGGTGATAGCGATGTCCTGGGCCTCCTGGAGAGTCTCCGAGTGCAGGAAAGTGAACCCACACTGCCGGATAGAGCTGATCACGGAGTAGTCTGGGAAAGGATAGGGCTCCAGGGCGACATGGAGGACAATCGGGTTGTTTGCCAAACGGTAAAGGTGAGGAATCGAGGAAAGTAGTGCAGAAGAGCTGGTGACCACGGACACAGCATCGCCAGTCTGCAGAGGGTGGAAAGCGGAGAGAAGAGGATCCTCATTGTATCGCACGGCCACAATCTACTTGGCCATTAGCTTCCCACCTTCTCCAGATTCATTCACATGGAAGTGAAGACGTACCTCTGGGGTGCTTCTAGACAAGACGCTGGAAGTGTTCTTCGTCTTAAGGGTCTTCAAAGTCTTGGAGAACAAGGAATCTGCCTGCAGAGAGGGTTGAACGGAGAGAACGACATCGCTGGTAAGGTAGGCGATTCTCGCCACTGAACAGCGCATACAGTTAGCCCATTAGGCCCAATACAACGAGCAGCGATGGAATATCTCCCAATCATGTATAGTAGAGAAAGACTCGGGTTGACGCAACATACCTGCTTCTCCAGCGGTCGAAATGGAGGCCATGTTGACAATGGCTTGCTACGCAACTGAATGCGCAGAAGGTGGGGGTAAGGAGGGGAGTCGGGAGATCGAGGAATTGGATATCACCGCATACGGTGATTCCCCACTCAATTCAGAGACAATGCAGAGGTACGGGGGGAGGGGGAAAGAGAGCGGAGGTGAGGGGGAAAGAGAAAGGGAAAAAAAGAGGATGTACAGCAGAAAGATAAATAATTTAGCTGGACTGATTTGCCGTGCACTCCTTTAATTTTTTTTTTTCTGTTCGCCAGTATGAATCACCTAGGATTAGTTCCAAGCAGCAGCAGCAGCAGTCTTGTTCGTCTCATAGTTTTGGGTCCATCTCCGCCATCGGGGGTTGGATTACCCCCCATCTGATTGGACTGCGATCACGACATCGATGCAAACTGCAACTGAGTGAGGGTGCAAACAGGCCCAATGGAGGAAAGTGCAAGGGTCCCGTGACTTTCCACTCGAGCACGTCACTTTGGCCGGGCTCGGCGGTTTTTGCTTCGAATGCCGATACATTTCAATCCAATATCGTAAATATGATTAATCTAGATTAACTATCCCCCCCCCCGGTAGACCAGTGACACTAGCTCATCTACTTGAGCTCACTTGTTCAATTATGGTCTGAAGACGGAGTTTGCGTACCTCCTACTCTTGATAGCTAACACCATCTTCTCTTAGTTCACATCGTTCGATTTTGCGGATATCCGGGGACATTTGCCGCAGACCTGCAGCTGGACCGCATTCGTCAGCAGCCACCACGTTCTCGGTCGAGAGCCCGGGGTTGGATCCGTAACGGGGTTTGAATATCTACGAACAATACACCTCGGGTTGATGGACTAATACGATCCCAAAAATAGTGATATAATATGTATGTATGCTCTGCACATCATATGATGCAAGCTCTCGGGGCAAAACTATGGTCGAAAATATATGCAGATCCCTAGAACGATGCACGCAAAATGTACCCTGAAGACGCCAGAATCACACCCAATCCCCACCCCCAATATCCCAAGCAAGCAATGTACATGTCCCAGACGCCGAATTCAGAAAGGGCATCACAAGACCTCATGAATGTCAATTATGTCCACCTCCCAACAATGGTGGCACTAGGCGATCCCCTTCACGCACAAACAACACCAACGCCTCCCTGGAGTACAGAAGACGGTGGAAATGTTGCAGGTAGGTCCGCCATCCCAGCCAGTGTCCGCTTGTCCGGTTCGTGAAGATAAGTATGTAGATCGTATCAATAAGTTTAAATAACAAGGCTTTGAAAGAAAAGAGGAGGAGAATGTCTGATATGTTGATGGCTAAGGTTGATGGCCAAGGCTGGAAAGTGGTCAAGCCTCCAGCAAGAGCGCGGGATTACTGTCGCCGATAGCACGGGAGCTGCCTCACTTCGTGGAAGGGGCGCTAATATGCCAGCCTTTCGGAGACGGAACCGAAGCCCTGCGACAGGTGAGAATCGGCTTTTTGTATAAGTCGGCAACGCTCAGTGTTGACTGTTGGCTTCGAGTGCGAGACTACCTGCCATCATTCCAGCCATGCATCTTTCCATTCGTTCCCGGTACGTGTTCGTAGACCGGCTGCAGCAGGGCGGCTGCCTGGACGGTTGACTGAGAAGGCTGGGGAGGGCCGGTACCCGATCGCCGTCTTCTTTCTCTCTCAAGGGGACCGGGCAGCTCAGGTTCTGCGTTGCGGGCGCGGAAATTGCGGTTGAGAGTATTCACCCAATTACCGCCCTCCTCATCTTCACCCAGCCAGTAGTTGCGACCGATGCTGATCATGATACGTCCCAGTTTACCCTGCCACCCTTGGCCATCGGGGCTGTGCGCAGAGAATGGTTCGCGATCAATGTCGGCGACACTAGCCACGCTAGCGATGGAGGTGTTGCGGCTGTGGGTCGGGAGTTGAGTGTGTCGCGGCACGGCGACGTAGAGACGGAGGGCCTGTCGCGCAAAGGCCAGCATGACAAAGACGAAGTAAATGCGGATGGTCCACAGCAGGCAGATGAAAACGATGCTTTGGAAGCTTTCAGGCTGAGACACGGCGTTACCCAGGGCATCCGATCTCCTTGCATAGGGATCGGCTTGATCCTTGTGCGACGAATCGTACTTTGGACTGGTGAAACCGGCGGTTTGCGCGATGGTCTCCGCGCCCGGTCCGGAGGCGCTTCCATTATCATAGTGTTGGGCTATAACGAGGAACCATGTGACCCCAAAGGCGGTGGTGTAGGCTGCATTAATGATACTGTCGAGAACGTAGAGCCAGGCGAGCGCAAGACATTGCAGGGGAGACTGTTGGCGAATATGAGGGAAGAGATATGTGACGAGACCCAGCGCGAGGAGGGAGTAAAGGTACATCGACAGTTGGACAGGTGAAAGATGGTAACCGGTCAAAAGGGCGAGCAAGCCATAGAGGCCGCTGATTTTGTTGAGAAGTAACGATAAAGTGATTAAGGATGCACCGGTCTGAAGACTCATGACATAGAGAAAGGTCTGTGTGTTTGGAAACCCGGACCAGCCGGGATTGGGTTAAGTCAGCTTCGATTCAAGAAGAGAGCGACTGAGCAACGGAGGCAGGCGGAACTCCGTAAAATTTCACCACTAATTCAATAGATAGGAACATACCTCTGGCCGCGGGATGCGGAGGAGACGGGTTGAAAACCCCATGATGTTTAAATCTGAGGGGCAAAATGTGCCAAATCGATAAGAGTAGGGTGAAATGGTAGTGGTGGTGGTGGTGATGATGAATGGAGAAAGGGAGTGTGACAAAAAGAGGCAAAGGAATGGAAGGTGACGACGGAGAAGGAGAGTGAGTGAGTAGGTAGAGAGAGAGGGAGAGGGGCGGCTGGAGAAGGGAAGGGGAGTTTTAACTACAGTACGGAGTAGTACGCAGTAGTTACGGTTCTCAAGGTTGAAAGAGTGAACGAGTGCGTGAGAGAAAGCAACGCTGGGCGCCCAAATTGCGGGTAATTGGCCCAGGGGCGGCGCTTTCTATCCGGTCGGGTCCGCCGATCGCTGCCTTGTCCCTCCTGGAATACTACTTACTGTACCCCGTACGCTGTACTGTGTACATAAGTCTTTTAAACTAACGGATTTCATTTTATTTTTTTGGGGCCTTTGGGCCTTTGAACAGTCCCTGCCCCAGCTGGTCCCCCATGACGTATCTACATCATTACAATCTTTCTCATACAGTACTTTGGTCCCTATCTGGCACGAGGTGGTCTGCAGATTGATTGATTGATTGATTGATTGATTGATTGATTGATTTAATAATCATGACATTGTATTTTTTCATTGGTCTTACCTTCCCCTCCTGCTGAAGAGTTGCAGACCACCACAAGAATTCTCTTCTCCGGCTCTGGACTTGAATTAACCACCGTATCCAGGTAGTCTACCCACTTCGACCGAGCGGAACAAACCACTAGGCAAAACTTTTATGCACATTATTATTCTACTTTCCGCCCACCGACAAATACGAGTACGAGGGAAGGCGTTGTTTGCTCCATACATAGTCTACTTATGAGTACGCACGCAGTACATGCAATCCGCCTTGTGAAATTTCACTCAGGGGTTTCTTGGGGGCCCCGTTTCATCTGCTTACACCATTCAACACATTTCAAGAGTTGCGACGCAGGAGCACAGTGAAATGAAAAAGTTAGCCTGACTACCAATATATTCAATAGGGATAATCGTGTTTAAAAAGACTTTTTCCATGGTCAGATCGAAACCGATGATCATATGACATATGACTATGATTCCGCGCGCCAACTGGGTAGACCCGCCACTGTTGCTGTGTAGTGGCTGCATTGACTGTGGGAAGCTGAATTCAAAGCAGTGCACAGTCAAGCTTCTATGAAAATGGCACATGGTTTGATTAATATGTCCCCCACACCGCCTGCCGGACGCAAAACAAATCCAATCTCAGGACTTGAGACGCACACGCCTGGCCCCTACGGTTACCGGGGTCTTTTCGGGACAAAGTGAAAATGAAAAAGATAGGTCCAATTAAGTTTAGAAAGAAAATTGAAGCTTGATCTAAACACGCTATTCACTCGAAAGAAGGGGGACCGGAGGAAATGTACATGTTGAGGATGGGTGAACATTATAGACAATGTCTCATGCCGCTGATTGAGGTTCAGGCAAGAGAGTAAGAGAAGAAGTTATAAGAGAAAATTGAGTCGGCAGCTGCCAGCCCAGTGATTAGCAGGCGCATCCATCATTAGTCGTGGTCTCTTTCGGGCTAATGTTAACATCGATCACTGGGAAAAGTCAGCAAAGCTATATTCAAGAAAGGGGTTTGGCTCGCGGGGAAAAACCGACTTTGGTTGTCCCCTCTGTTGCTTTCTCCCTCCATGCCCGGTAGGGCCTGGGCGATTCTCCGGAAAAGCTGCTTGACGTTGTGGCCGACCTTCGCACTCGTTTCAATGAACATCAACCCATTCTTCTTGGCCTCCTCTTCACCCTGTGCCGTCGTGACCTCCCGCTTGTCGTTCAAATCGGTCTTATTGCCGACCAGGACAATAATGACATCGTTTCCACGCTCTCCGCGGACATCGTCGATCCATTTCCGGGTGTTCTGGAAGGATTTGGCATTCGAGATGTCGTAAACTACCACGGCGACACTCGAATCGCGAATGTAGGAGGGAATCAGGGAGCGGAACCGCTCCTGACCGGCGGTATCCCACAGTTGGAGGCGCACGGTTCTATCTTCTAGGTACATCGTCTGTATAGACAGCACTGATTAGTTTCGGACAACCACGCGGGCAGGCATGCAAGCTTGCCGTGCTATCGGAAGGCCAACGTCGACCGGACGGACGGTACCTTGGACAAGAAGTCGATCCCAATTGTGGCTTGGTATGTGTTGTCGAATGAATCATACATGAACCTCGTAATCAAGGAAGTTTTGCCAACTGCAGGAAAAGTGTCAGGACTAGCGTGGCGAAGGGAACGGCATGCGGGGTGGTTTCTTGTCGCGGAGGATATTCGTACCACTCTGTTCTCCCAGGAAAACCAGCCTGCAATCGAATTAGCGACCGGTTCAAGCAGCGGCTGAACAATGGTGGTTCGCGCTGCTTACTTGAATTTCTTCAGAGGGTTCGAATACGACCCTACACCGGAGGTGGAAGCCATGTCTACGAAAATGTGGTTGAAGCGGCGAAATCAGGGGTAGCGGAAGTAGGTCGCAGGATCGATTCGTGATCGATTCGTGATAGTGGGCGGGTGGACGAAAGTTGGAAAAGAAGGTGCAGGGGAGGGAACGAGAGAGTTGTGACAAGCGGAGTCTTTCGAGAGGTTCGGAATTAATTGTTAGGTTAGAGAAGAGGGAGGGGAAGGTGAGGGGAGGAGAAGGCGAGCAGATCAACCCGTACCAGAGGAAGGTTAGATTCTCTAAAGGTCTAATGGACAAATAAGTAGCTGGGTTGACCCATGGGTCCGTCCGGGGAACTTTTGACAGACAGTATGTTAGGTTTGCACTGCATAGATTAGACGGACTAACTACCTTTACCTTAGTTAGGAGTACTTAGAGTAAGTGACTGACTACAGTACTGTACGGGGGTACTCAGTACGGTAGACCGACTACCCGGATTAATGCCCGGCCCGATAACCACCACCACCACCATCACTTGCTTGCTTGCTGTTCCACCTGGGCTCGGGGTCTATCGATCACTATTGAAGCTCCTACTGACTTACTACTTACGGTCCTTGTTGTTCCCTACTTGTCCCCCCCTCCTCTCCCCACCCCTCATACCTGAGGCCCTCTTCCTATTCCTCTGCTCTCGTTGTATCCTTCTCTTCAATCAAAAGTATAGGGTCATATCACTTACGGGACGTCCACCATGGTTCTCCGTTATTTCACCGGTGTTGTATTCGTGGCCCTCCTGGTGGTCGGACTATGTAAGGCAACCAACTCCATTAGCTGCATAGAGGTCCCGAACCAGCGCTAACTATGATCTTCTCTTTACCTAGATTTGCTCCTGACCGGTCAAGGTGAACGATTCAATGTAAGCGACAGCTACACTCGCCGACAGTCGCGGTGGAGTCCTCGCTAATCCGACCCAGGTCGGTTATTTCTTAGAGTCGGTATCTCCCTATGCGTGGGCCAACCTCGGAATTGCCATGTGCATTGGCTTGTCAGTCGTCGGCGCTGGATGGTATGAAAATCCCCTCAATCTGATACGGTCATACGTCATGCTGAGAAACGGGCTTTTAGGGGTATCTTCCTGACGGGATCGTCCATCGTCGGCGGTGGTGTCAAGGCACCTAGAATCCGGACGAAGAACTTGATCTCCATTATCTTCTGTGAAGTCGTTGCTATCTATGGTGTCATCATGGCAATCGTCTTCTCCTCCAAGCTCAACCTTGTCGACAATGACGGCATCTTCTCGGGAAGCGACTACTACACCGGTTACGCCCTGTTCTGGGCGGGTATCACGGTCGGTACATGTAACTTGATTTGCGGTATCTCGGTCGGCATCAATGGAAGTGGTGCAGCTTTGGCCGATGCTGCGGATCCCAGCTTGTTCGTCAACCCGACCCGGGGTCTGGAAGAGTGGCTGCTAACACTGCGCGCAACAGGTTCGTCAAGATCCTCGTCATCGAGATTTTCAGCTCGGTTCTCGGTCTCTTCGGACTGATTGTTGGTCTTCTGGTGGGCGGCAAGGCACTCGACTTCGGTGCCGCGTAAGAGTATAAGGATTGTGTAGGAGCTTGTTGTCCGGGGGGATGAATTGTATGACTTCTCTCACGTTTGCCGTCGCTTCTTTTTTATTCTTTGTCTCCTTTATCTACTGCATCGGGGCGTACGGATTCGATTCAACTGTAGAACTTTGTTTTGGCTATGCGTGCGAAATGCATTGTTGATCTCGCTGCTTTGCCTGATATTGCGACGGGGAAGAGATGTATAGTAATTGGCAGCGGGGCTGACCTAGGAATATAAAAGTGATGAAGATGCATAGTATGCTTGGATTGTCTGGTGAGCAGGAATATGATAAAGTGTTGTTGAGAGTGTTCCGTAAATGCCTTCCAAGTTGTTGCGTTGATGGCCGATTCCGGTTGTCTTAATCGGTTAAGTTAGTGTCTCCGCCATGCTTATCGCTCTTCCCCGCCGACAGGAAGCATCTCCGATATAATAATCCCTCTCCTTCCTCGCCCCTCAGCAACCAACAATTATCTTTCATCATGACCGATACCACTACCCTCAAAGCAGCAATCTTAGTGGTGTCTGATACGGCTTCCCAGGATCCTTCGACAGACAAAGTTGGCGATGCTCTTACAAACGTCTTGTCAACGGCGGGCCCCAATACCTGGGACAAGCCCGCTGTCAAGATCGTCCCTGATAGTGTGCTAGACATCCAACGTGCTATCTGTGACTGGGCAGATGGGCCAAACTGGGTCAATCTCGTCTGTGTGAGTGGTGGCACTGGCTTTGCAACTAAGGATATCACCCCTGAGGTTCGTCTAATATCTACTCTGGCATCGACACCATCGTTCACACTAACGCTTCGATCAGGCGGTCTCGCCTCTTATCCATCGCCATGCGTCTGGCCTGGTGTGAGTTATGTCTCGAATCTGCATTCCTAATAGTTATGACTGACCGGAGCAAAGACATGGCATGCTTGCCGCATCCCTTAAGGTTACACCGTGTATGTCTGATTGTGTTGTATGCATGGACATCACTGCTAACAGGTATCAGTTGCGATAATGTCGAGACCCGTTGCAGGAGTGCGCGACAAAACCTTGATTGTCACCCTGCCCGGCTCCCCCAAAGGTGCCAAAGAAAATCTGGAAGCAATTATCAAACTTCTTCCGCACGCATGCAGCCAAACGGCTGGTGCGAACTCTAGAGCCCTTCACGCAGGCGGCATCAAGAAGCTAGAGGCCGAGGCAGGAGTATCTGCCTCACCTCAACCAACAAACCATGATCATCATCACCACCATCACGACCACAGTCACGGCCACGCTCATGGTCACGGTCATGGCCACGCTATACCCAGAGCACACACGACTCCCTCCGAGCGGCCACAGTCCAACGACCCGAATGCAGGGCCGAACCGCCGCTATCGATCCTCCCCCTACCCCATGCTCTCCGTTGACGAAGCACTCCGACTCATCAGCGAGCACACGCCTGAACCCACCATCATCGAGGTCCCTGTGACCACAGCATTAGTCGGGTCCGTGATCGCGGAGGACGTTTACGCGGCGGAAGCGGTTCCAGCATACCGCGCCAGCATCGTAGACGGATACGCCGTGATCGCATCAGCAACATCAGAGTCTGGCCCTAATACCCGAGGCATCTTCCCCGTAGCCTCGATCACCCACGCCAACGAGGGCGGGATACTCACTCCCTTGGAGCCCGGAACCATCGCCCGCATCACTACCGGCGCACCGCTGCCCCCGAACGCCAACGCCGTCGTCATGGTCGAAGACACCGTCCTCGCCACCTCTACTCCGGACGGACAGGAAGAAGCCACAGTTGAGATTCTGACCTCCGAGATCCAACCGGGCGAGAACGTCCGCGAACCCGGCAGCGACGTCGCCCTCGGCTCCCTCATCCTCCGCAAGGGCGACCTCATCACCTCTGTGGGCGGAGAGATCGGCCTCCTAGCAGCCACCGGCACGCGGACCGTGAAGATCTACCAGAAGCCGCGGGTTGGCGTTCTCAGCACCGGCGACGAGCTCGTCGAACACGACGACCCGCGCCAGCTCACCGGTGGGCAGATCCGGGACTCGAACCGCCCCTCCCTCCTCTCCTGCCTCACGTCCTGGGGGTTCCCGACGGTCGATCTGGGCATCGCGCGCGACACCCCGGCCGGCGAACTCGAACAACGCCTCCGGGATGCTCTCCGCGGCGTCGGGACGGCCGCCAACCACGGCGTCGATGTGATCATCACCACCGGCGGCGTCTCCATGGGCGAGCTGGACCTCCTTAAACCGACCATCGAACGCTCGCTTGGCGGCACCATCCACTTTGGCCGCGTGTCCATGAAACCCGGCAAACCGACCACCTTCGCCACTGTGCCATTCAAGCCTTCTTCGTCCTCGACGGACGTGCAGCAAGAACGTCAGAACAAACTCATCTTCGCCCTCCCCGGCAACCCGGCTTCGGCGCTGGTCACGCTCAACCTTTTCGTGCTGCCTTCGTTGCACAAATTGATGGGCATGGGTTACAGACAAGGCGGATCAGGACCGATGACGCCGTCGTCGTTGGGCCTGCCGCTCGTGTCGGTTGCGCTGGCGCATCCGTTCCCCGCCGACCCCAAGCGCACGGAGTATCACCGGGCGGTGGTGACGGCCTCCCGCTCGGATGGGAGGCTCTATGCCACGAGCACCGGATTGGATGGCGTGGGTCAGCGAAGTTCGAGAGTGGGCAGTCTGGCCAGTGCGAATGCGTTGGTGGTGCTTCGGCCTGGGAAGGGGAAGGTCGAGAAGGGGGCGTTGGTGGAAGCGTTGATGTTGGGGCCGGTTGTGGCGGAGGCTTGAGCTACCAGTCTCACTGCAAAAGCAATCTCAAATATCCATATGTATTGAGAATATGCTTACTTGGGATGTTCAAAAGAGACAAGCTTTGAAAATTATTGGAGTTGTCAGGGTTTGTCGCTTCTTCCCACAATTACAGTGAAAAAGATATAGCTCCCCCCACCCGCAGTCAGGAAATACTAAATACCAACCTACCAACACCACAGGAAATATGACCGACTCCATTCAATATGTAGCATAAATACCCAAAGCGTACAGATGAATCAAGAAAAACAAACCCTCAAGAGATTCTATCTACCTCCTAACCAAGAATTAGGAAAAACTTAAGGAAAACCAGGGTATCAATCCCAAACTCCACCCTCACAATCATCCGTCATATTCACCATTTACCTCAATCCCAACCACCACAATCCCAAACCCTAGATTTTCCAAAAATCAAACCTTCCCAACCCTCCACCCCTTCTTCTTCGCCGCCCGCAACACCGGCAACGTCGCCTCCCGCCCCTGCTTCCTCGCAATCTCAATGACCACAAAGCGCACGAAGTCCGTCAGCGTCCAGTAACTGCTGTGGGCGCTCAACATATTCAGGTACTGGATATTGAGGGGCCCACCGCCGCCGGACAGGTAGTAGTCGATCTGCCCGTTGTCATTCAGCAGCAGCATGCGTTTCTCGGCGATCTCTTCGCGGGTGAAATCATGGGTTTCCAGCTCGACCTGCGTGGGGAGTTTGGCCGTTATGGCAGGAGGTGGGATGGTCGTGTTGCTGGTTGTGGTGGTGCTCGACCAGCGGAAGACGTTGCCGAAGGAGGACCAGATGGTCGAGGTGGTGGTGGGGATGGAGGCGGGTTTGAGGGAGGCGGCGAGGTCGCTGTCCACGGCTGCATTGACGCGGTAGGCGATTGCTTTTGTTTCCCCGGGGGGTTAGTTGCGTGATGGAGAGGGGTGGAGGTGGATGGTACTTGGTGAGGGGCAGGGGGCTAGGGGGCTTACGGTCTGTAGTGTGCATGATGTTGTAGAGATTGTCGACGGCTAAACAGCCGTATGTGTCTGCTTCGCCGGCGACGCCGCGGAGACGGTCGTCGCCCTCGCAGCCGGGTTTGTCGCGGCCGCGGCGGGGGAGGAGGTTGGCTGGGTTGGTGTAATGGTTAGTTTGGAATTTTGAATGGATACTGTCGATGAGCGGAAAGTTTACCCTTGTTGAGGAACAGGAAGAATCCGGCGGGACTGCCACAGATGAATAGGTTCTTCGTGTCGAATTCGAAGATGTCTCCGTGCACGCTGGTTGTGGAGAAATCAAACCTGGGGATCTTGGTGGGCTGATGACTGAGGATGTCCAGGGCCATCGCACTCCCCAGGGAGTGTGCGAGCAGATGGACCCGGCCGTTCTGTTGGAATCCTGGGTTGTTCTCGCACCACAGGCGGAAGATACGGTTGGCTTCTTTGACGACGGCTTGGATCATTTTGGGCTTGTGATGCGATAGATAGTATGGGATATCCAACATGACGTCGCTAATCAGGGATCTGACAGCGGGGATGGTCTCCGGTGTGATATCCTTCAAGGAATAGTGATTGGAAGCTGGATCTCCGGCCGCTGGAGACTCGAGATTGGCCTCATCCAGGGACAGTGTTGAGCGCCAATTCACAGGCAAGGCCATGATCCCTCCGTGTCCTGAACGCACGTGGGGCCACACGGGCTCGCTATTCAGCTCCATATTGATGGTCCTGCGGAAGGCGTTGATCGCGTGAGTGAAATGAAAACTTTCCATTCGTTCTGATAGCTTCTGGCCTATACCGTGGATGACAAGGACCAGGTCCGTCGGAGCCGGCCGTAATTCTTCTATCGCGCAGGCATAGCATACCGGTTCTCCTGAGGTGGACATGGCTCGAGTCTGGGTGCTTCGAAGGTAGTTCCTCACTTCTACGGGGCTCGGTTTGCTGGGATGCAGACGGTCCCACAATCGCCGGCTGAAGCTGCGAACTACAGGGATGCCAATCTGTCTGCCTTTACGAATCGCACTGAGCGGTCTGCGACCGCGCGATACAGACGGAAGAAGACTGGGTCGTAAAATCTGTGCTTCCCGCCAGTCAGCATAGATGACGCTTGAGTTCAAGAAGGGCTTGACAGATTCGGTGTGTGCCGGAGTGGCCCCAGCAGCGCGGTTTTCATCGAGTGCGAAAGGCTCATTGCCAGGGCGCTCTGGTTGGTCCACCAATTGAGCAGCGGACGGAGTACCATCAGAAGCAGCTGCAGCTGTTGACGGCCGGGTTGGGTCCTCTTTGGGCCAAAGCCTGTGCACTACCTTGAGCTCCGCATCAGCGCCGTTCTCGACACAGCTATTGAGTTCGTCCTGCCATGTTTCAGTCCACGGCTTCAGGTAGAGGTACCCATCTTCTAGCTTGTTAGCAAGCTCCGTCTCAACTGGCAGCATAGTATTCTTGTAGAACCACGTCGCACGGACGACGTTCGATATGTCGTGCAATGGGCTCCAATATATCGGTTTCATCTATTTGTCAGGGTTACTATTTGCAGATCCCACGGTTCATGGAAGGTACTATACCTTCAGCTTTGGCAATTCGACAAGGTGAAGCCGGGAAGCACCGACTGGAATCCTCCACTGCGTTTCGTCAATCTCTACAGAATCCTGGAGTTGTTTGTCCGATTCCTCAAGCGATTCCCTATCGACGCTTGTCCTCAGTCCCGAACGCTTAGCTGCAGTGTGAGCGGTCGCATCCGTCGGTGACTCTGGAATGGCGTCCCGCGAAGATTTCGACTCGACGGATCTGCCCAGTAGACTTTGCGGCTTGTGAATTGGGGCTCTGATAAACGGAGAACCGCTGATACTTGCATCTCGCGAAGTGTTACCCCGGGAACTGACGCTATCGCCACTGTCGAAAGCGACGTCCTCCGTCCGTAGAACCCCGCTGGGTTTGACTCCCGTGGGTTCGACTCCCGTGGGTTCGATATCTTCCCGAGGAAATGGTTCTCTGCCCTTGTAAGTGACCTTGGTCGGCCTCAAATTCTCCTTCGAGTTAGTCTCCAGCGTACGCGACCTTTTCCGGGCTCCTTCATGCTCCAACCCGGGGCTTCCGAACTCGTTTTTGAATCGACCTCTGAAGGTCTTCAATGCCCTGTCATCCAGAGACAGTGGAACGGCAGTGTTCTGCTTGCCTTGGCTGTCTTCCAGACTGGAGCCCAGGGATAGTCCCGTCTTCTTCTTCCATTCTGCGCTTGTTGTTGGTTCTTGTCCTGGCACAAGTATCCCCGAGTTTCTTTTGGAAGCGCGCCCTTCCTGTGCCCTGGCTTTCGTAACCAGAGTTTCTCTTCGGACCCGTTGTAGCGACTTCCAGGCTTCTTCCAGAGCAGCGTTATCCCGGACCGAGTAAGGTTGGAGCGGAGCCTTCGCATTGGCGGATCCTTGACCGCCACTTGGAGGGGGTAGCGCAGTCAAGGGGTCATCTATCGGTAGCGGAGAGGTATAGAAGAACTGAGGCCGTACGCTCGGAGGAGATTCGGAGTAGAGCCATGAGGAAGGATCCGAAGCATCAGCTGCCAGAAAACACGAAGGTCCGTAAGTATGGATGGGAGCGGCCATTGTGATGGCAGAGAACAGGCCCACTATCCCTGTGGGCTTAGCTCGCTTTAAGTACTAAAGAACTTAGCGCAAACCAGTCAGATCAAGCCTGTAGCAGGCTGTGAGCGAGGAAAGATGGAAACGATGTGGCACAAAAATAATTTAGCTTTGGGTGGACGGTCAGTGCAGCGCGCGCTGAAAGGGTCAGCAAGGGAGAATTAAGCACTCAGGAGTGCTTCCAACTGGCAGGGGAATCTGTCTAGACAAGTCCAAGTCGACGTGTCATAGCGTAAAAGGGAGAAATATCGACGGACGCATGATGGCAAGCATCCGCTGGAAGTTTGAAGCATTCTCGAGGTTTATGAATGGAGACAAACCGATGGGGGAAAAGAGAAACAACTTCCAGTTTCTTGTGATGGGCGGAGGAAGAGAGGATGACGTCGACCCCACGTGAAAAAGAAACAAACCATCCACCCATGCAAATGCAAAACAACAACTTACAACTTACAACTTACAACTTACAACCAACAACCACCACCACCACCACCCCCGACCGCAATTGCCACCTCATCAACTCGAGTATGACAGCAGTCACGCAGGAGCCACGTTGGTCATTCGAAGCTGTTATTCGTCCGAGCTAGGATCCCCGATTATGCAATAACCCTGATCCGCACATGATGGCAATCCGTTCATTCGGTCAAGAATTCCGCGCGTGACGGAATCCAAAAGGCGGAGAAATTGATTGATTTCTAGACTATCATTCGATACGCTTGACAACTCCGTTTTCGCGAGAGACATGAAAGGGGAAAACTAAAAATCAGCGAAAATGAAAAGCAAAACACCTAGATCGAGCCGGTAAGGGCGAATCAACTGCCCCGTCATTCCACAAGCGTAGCCCCGACTTCCCCACTGCACCACAGTATATTCTGGCCGACTCAGCCGCGCTTCATCAACAACAAAGCCTGCATCTGCAACTCTTCGAAGTCACGCATAGTTTCCAGGGGCGCCCCGAGCATCTCCAGAAGCTTATGGATGTCATACATTTGCTTCCGAATCGCGCTGTCCGGGGCGCAGAAAGTGCGAACGCTCATCTCTTTGCCGATCGCTTTCCAGTTGTTCAGGTTCGTTCTCAATTGTACTGGGTTGGTTGCGCTAGACCCGTTGAATTGAACAGTCCGAAGGTTCGACAAGATCAGCTGGCGCTGGGTAGTTTGATCATAGTGAAACTCCACGACTCGTGGCCGATTCTTTGCAGCCCAGTAGTTGGTGACCTTGGAAATGGATTCTCCGGATAGCAGACCTCTATTGTGTTGTTCGACGAGGAACCTGTTGGCAACGACACAGATCATAACCTCCAGCTGCGAGTACAGTCTTGCTTGGGTCGGAGCATCCAGAGAAACCGGCACAGTCCTTGCAGGTCCATACCTCTCAGGCATAGGCCCGGAGGAATGGATGCTAAGGTTGACCTTGAAAAGGTCAACGGTCTTTTTCAAGGAGATGTCAGGACATGGTCTTCCATCGTGACATGGTGGTCCACTTACCAGGTCTTCCACCAGGTCTTCAACATGCATCTTGAATTTCTTCCCCAGTCTGCGCAAGCCGAAAGACTTGTGGTTGTCACCCGCCAGCTCTCTGAGATCTGCGTTGCTCCCCAGCCAGCCGTTCTCGCCGAAAAGCTTCTTGTGTGAAGGCTTGCTTCCGCTCAGGGGGTTACCCACCAGCGAAACACCAGTCAAGTCTGTGGCAGTCGGAGACAGCTGAGGGCTAGGGCTGAGCCTCATCATGACCGTCTGGCTGACTTCGGGCTCAGAGTATGGATGGTAGCCGATATGGTGTCCACGGCCATTGTGAAGTGTGATGCCTGGTGCCTCCAGCACGCAGACTGTGTCGTCAAACTCGGACTGGTGCATCACGGGCGACGGAGGTGAGTGGCGAGGTGACAGATCTGATTCAATTCCAACAGGAATGTACTCCGACGATGCGGATGACTGAGCATCGAATGGAACAGCCGTGTCACTAGTTGGAGAGCCTGTCCAGAACTTCATGAATGGTTCGTAGAAGGGATTGAGTTTGGCGATATCGTCGTAGCTCAGGTCCCTATCTCAGAGGTCAGTCTTTCAAGACCCGAATCGGTTGGTTCGTGTACTTACTGTGACTGGAGCACGGTGTACTGTGGGCGAATCCGGTCGCTCATTTTAACAATTGTGACCAAGGATACTCGCTAGATGAGAGAGTTGAAACCAGGGATTGAAGACAAGGGCGAGGAGAAGATCGACAGCAACATATGGAGAATGTCAAGGGATAAGATCAAGCAGAATGTAGAGATCTGTTTGAGGGGGAGAACCGGGAGATCAGATGCTGGATTGAGTCAGTCATATCCTTATTGTTCTATTGTCATCAATACCCAATGTATTAAATAGTGAATGTAGTAATGTCTCGGACAATGGTTATATCACTTCTACAATTTTAAAAACTAAGGTGGGGGGGGCCACTCCACCTGGGCTGGGATGAGTGAATAGCTATTATTGATAAAGGACAATAGTCTGAATAGGCTAAGCTAAACAACACACTAGGTAAATCAATCTGGATAGTTGTAGTTGAGGCTCAGCTTTCCTTACCCACCTGGCTTTTTCCAACTAGTAGCTCTATCAAGCTTGTGTTATAATTCTACTGAGAGGATAAGCACATAGAAAAAGGGCAATGGCTCCAGTAGGCTAGGTAAAGAATATGCTCAGGAAGTCAATCTGGATAGTTGCAGTTGAGACTCAGATTTCCTCACTGATACGTCTCTTCGCAATTGATAGTACTTGAACATGTGCTCCAGGTTTAAACAGATGATAAGTCAGGATGAAATTCTTGCCTGCCCTATACTTTTCATGTGTAGATATGAGTCCTGACATTTGAATATTGAACAACCCGATATAGAGTAGAGCATGATCCTCGTTCTCCTACTCCATTCAAGTTGACTGACATGACGATAAGCCTCGACCAACCTGCTACCTGCGTGGAGTAATCACGAACCACTGTACTGTCTATGAGCCAACGCATTAATCACTATAACTGCTGGTCTTCGATTCGTATGGCATTGAGTCTATTCGACTCGAGACCAAGCATCGGGTCAGTAAAAAAGTGGGGTTATCGCTTTGTTTATGATCCTAACCGGGCTAATTATGTTTGCCACTGTATAGCAGGGATTGCTAGCCTAAAAATGCACTACCTGTTGCGTGCCTGAGGCCGGACTGCGAATCGTAATCCAGCCAGATGGACTGAACAGCCACCAGATGAATTAAACATCGTCTATCATGCGGCTGCTATTGGCCCTCCTCCGAAGTACCGGGAACATGTCCCATGGGGTCAAGATCTACCGTTGATCTGGGGCCCGAGTCCGTCGGGACAGAGCTCAAGGCACTGAAGTCGGTACCTAGTAGAGGAAGCAAATCTCGGAGTAAATTGCCGGGTTGTGGCCGGCAGCGTCGGGGATATCTGGAGACTGGTTGGTACCCCAAATTGGAATTTATGCAGCGGGCGTTCATAACTTTGTGATGTACTGATGCTTATAACGATGTCATGAAATCAGCTACAAATTAATACTGCCTTTTGATTCGACTACTAGGTACCTACTCATACTTTCCCACTGGGTTTAGTACCTACTAGGTACCAGTACCTTAACTCCGTGAACAGTTCGGCGTTCGGCACGAGTTGAGCCAATCAAGTGGAAGGGATTGAGAGAGGAAATCCCGGGAGAGGCTGCCGAGGAGCAGCATCACGTGCCCTGGCCTCCACCTTCCCTCCACCTGCCGAACTTCTAGCCGCTCCCAGAGTGCGGAGGCTCGGATTGCAGACCGGCAATCCCAGTGAACCTCCCCGCAATCCTCCAATTGGAGGCTGTCGCCCTCTATCTTACTCAGATTGTAATTCTCGGTGTCCCACAAGCTTACTCAATAGGTCTGCTTCCCAAGGCCCTCCCCGGCCATAATGCAGTTCGGTCGCGATTCACCCCCAGGCTCCTCCACAATCTAGCCCACACTGAAATGCCGTCCTACGTCTCCGTTGCTTGCCGCCTGTATGCAATCCGGTGGGACCCTTGTCTTCAGCTTTTCAAGCAATATTATTTATACCTCCATCATCCTCATGTCCTTCAATTGGGTTTTTTTTTCTTCTTGTATCATCAGCAACTCATTACTCACATTTCATCTTTACCTCTTCATCACTCTCCACTCATTTTTTCTTGTGGCGGATGGTCGTGAATCCTGACCCTTGATCTCCGAACTACTCACTGCTCTTCTTATCCCACAACCACTTTACCAAACAGAGATTCCCTATCGCACAGCATCATGACTCAATCGCAAGAGAAGTATGATATCGTCATTGTGGGCGCTGGCCCCGTTGGCATTCTCTTGTCGCTCTGCATGTCTCGTTGGGGCTACAAGGTTAAGCACATCGATAACCGACCCGTACCCACCGCCACTGGCCGCGCCGACGGAATCCAGCCCCGCTCGACTGAGATCCTCCGCAACCTGGGCTTGAAGCGCCAAATTATGGCCTATGAGCCCGCCAAGGTCTACGATGTCGCTTTCTGGGATCCCCTCCCCGGTGACCAAGGAATCCACCGCACTGGAAGCTGGCCCAGCTGCCCGCGCTTCATCGACACCAGATACCCTTTCACCACCCTCGTCCACCAGGGTAAGATCGAGCGCGTCTTCCTTGACGAGATCCAGAAGGCTGGTACCACCGTCGATAGACCCTGGACTATTGTTGGCTTCAAGAACGACGGCCTGGACGAGACCTACCCCGTCGAGGTCCAGCTGAAGTGCATCGACACCAATGTGATCAAGACCGTCCGCAGCAAGTACCTCTTCAGTGGTGAAGGTGCCCGCAGCTTTGTTAGACAGGAGCTGGGCATCCAGATCCACCACAAGGATCCTATCTCCTACGTCTGGGGTGTCATGGATGGTGTCGTGAGAACTAACTTCCCTGATATTGAGGTAAGCCGTCGCATCACATCCGAGCCGCGGAAATTGGCATTCGCTAACATCGCATCACAATCCCTAGACTAAGTGCACAATCCACTCCGATGCCGGATCTATCATGGTTATCCCCCGTGAGGACAACATGGTCCGTCTCTACGTCCAGATCGCCTCGTCCACTGATCCCGACTTCAACCCCCGCAAGACTGCCACCGCCGAGGAAGTTCAGGAGACCGCGAAGAAGATCTTGAAGCCCTACTGGGTGGAGTGGGACCGCGTGGAATGGTACTCCGTTTACCCTATCGGCCAGGGTATCTCGGAACGGTATACCTTGGACGAGCGGGTGTTCATGGGTGGTGATGCCTGCCACACTCACAGCCCTAAGGCCGGCCAGGGCATGAACACGGCTTTCCACGATGCTCTTAACATGGCTTGGAAGATCCACGCTGTTGAGTCCGGACTGGCCAAGCGCGAAATCCTCAAGACGTATGAGAGCGAGCGCAAGGACATCGCCGAGACTCTCCTGAGCTTCGATAACAAGTACGCTGCCTTGTTCTCCAAGCGTCGCCCTACTGCCGGCGAAGTCGGCGAGGCCAGCCACAACGCCGCTGCGGCCAATGTCGAGGAGGACCCCTTCGTCAAGACTTTCAAGGAGTCTTGCGAGTTCACCAGTGGCTATGGCGTTGCTTACAAGTCCAACGTCTTCACCTGGGATGAGACCCACCCCGCCCAGTCTCCTCTCTTCAACATCCCTGGCGTGAAGCTGATCCCTGGCCGTGCTTTCACTCCCAGCACCGTCACCCGCTTGGCGGATGCTAACTTCGTGGAGCTGGAACAAGAGATCCCCGCCAACGGTGCGTTCCGTATCTTCGTCTTCGCCGGCAAGCAGGCCAAGACCAACAAGGCTATCGTGGACTTCGCTGCCAACCTGGAGAAGGAGCGCTCTTTCCTGTCGGTGTACCGCAGAAGCGACATCGCCGATGTTTCCTTCTTCGAGCGCCACCTTCCTCACTCTAAGCTCTTCTCCCTGTGTGTGATCTATGCCGACGAGAAGAACAAGGTCGACATGGCGGCGGTGCCCAAGATCCTGCGGGATTACCACCACCACATCTACGCCGATGACCTTCCCGACGTGCGGGTTCCTCACGCCAAGTTTGCCGCTCACGAGAAGCTTGGATTTGACCCTGAGGTTGGTGGTGTTGTCGTCACTCGTCCTGACAGCCACATTGCCTGCACGGTTCAATTGGTGGAGGGCAGTGGCACGGTCGACGCTCTCAATGCCTTCTTCGGTGCCTTCACGACGAAGCCGCTGGGCCAGGATCAGCAGGCTAGCCGACTGTAAGGATGGGTTGTTTCTTTGGAATAAGATGTCTGTAATTTATGTTTGGAGATTGGCCTCCTTGCTTTGGAGTCTGATGTAAATAGTTTTCTTGTTTATTTTTGCAGTTTCGGGCTTGTGCTATTGCAGCGGTTGCGACCTGGCATGTTTTGGCGTTGTTGTATATATCCCGAGGAATTCAATTCTCCCAATTTATTTCAAACCATTCAAAGCAAAAATAGGCGAGTTATTGTATGAGATTGTCAGCCAGCAGCCCAGCGAAGAGAAAAAAAAATGATGTAAAGGCGGCGAAGGCGGCAGCACAGCCTGCCGAAGTGTGAACCATTGTTACGGCCCCGCACCAGACCTGTATGACTTCGTCCTCTCCCCGCCAGCGATCTGCCCAACACAAACAACACAACCAGGAACATCCACCAGAATGCTCTCCTTGATCCTCTCCGCCGAACTCAACGGGTAAGTCAATGATATGATTTGGTCTTCCACACCAAAGCCGCCGGCGGGTCTCACCCGCAAGGTTCTCATGCCTTTTTTTCTGCCACTCTGCATGACTTCAAACCTCTTCCCCGCACCTGACGCAACACATATTCTCTATGCATGCATCAAAATGACCTAAACCGTAGCTAACCCATGTAAAATCCACAGAGTCAACGAGCTCCGTCCCAAGGACACCGAGGAGGAGCCCTACTATTACACCTTCAAGGTTCAATGCACAAGCTGTCGTGAGGTTCACCCCAACCCCGTCAGCTTCACCCGCTTCGTAAGTCCATCCCCAGGTTCTGCAGGAAAAAGCTGCACCCACTCACAGAGACACTCAGGAGCAGCACGAAATCCCCGGAAGTCGGGGCGAGGCCAACTTTGTGTGGAAATGCAAGCTCTGCCAGGTGAGGATCCTTCCTGTCTTGCCCATCATGCCCCGTTCATGCCTACCTCGCATGTGCTTACTACGTAAAAAGAAAACCCACTCTGCCTCGATCATCGCGGGCCCCAACGCCTACGAGGCAAATGACAAGCGCACCGGCCAGAAGGTGATTGACATCGACTGCCGGGGTCTGGAGTTTACTGAATTCAAGGCCGATGTAAGTGTCCGCCAGTTTCTGACCCTGCCTAGTCTATCTTTTCAGGATGCAAGAAAAAAAAGCTAATGCGAGTTCTACCAGGGCGAGTGGCTAGCTAAGGGTGTCGAGTCGAACACCCCGTTCACCGACATTGATTTGTCCGAGGAGTGGTATGACTACGATGAGAAGGCCGGCGATGAGGTTTCCATCAAGGAGATTTCCTGGACGGTGGGAAGATCCTAGATGTCTTTTATGACTTTGATTGGGGGGGGAATCTTAGGTTTTTCTTTTCTCTCGTGTACATTTGCGGCGTTTTAGCTGAGCTCAACGTAACATTTTGACATTCGGTGTCATTGATCCTATAGTTTCTGCGATGCTCGTCCTATGATGAGGAAGGCTTCGAACCGGTAGTATGGTAGTTGAGGTAAAAGTCATCTCTCAGTTCATGCCATAAAATGCCATTTTTTCCCAAGCTTGATACCGTAGAAAGAAATACTGCGATGTCCGGAAAGGCGGTGAGCCTACCTAGCTCTCTGATTGGCTTAAAGCCGCGTCTAGCCGCATCACATTTTCGCGGTGTGTCCAGCCCGGCGGTCGTCAACTTGGCGACACTGCGACTAGTCGCTCGACATCTTCACCTCTCAATCCTCCTCCGGAACATTCAATCAACCTCATCCTCGACCTCTACCCGGGATCTTTGCATCTCCTCTCCGCGCTTAGATACATTCTTCCTGCCGCGAGACTTCACACTCCGGTCCGCCGTCTCAATCCCGAGCTTGCTAAACAGCTAGTATCCGATCAGATCCCGCCGATATGAGTGTACGCAGCGCGTTCCTATCCCACCAAGTCCTTCCCTTTTATTCGAAAGAAGAGCCAGTGTCAGTGGACGGCGATGCTAACTCTGATTTCCGCAGTTCAACCCCGTCAACCCCCGCCCTTTCCTCCAAGCTAGGTATGCGAGTCCCCGTCGACCGTATTTACGTCTCGAGCTATCCCCCCCCCCCCACTTCCTCTTCGCATCAGCCGCGCAACCTTTTCCTCTCTCATGTCGGAATCCCCACTTGAGTCACGCAGGATCTAATCATTTTGTTTCTGCCACACAGGGTCGGTGAAGAGGTCGTCATCCGCCTGAAATGGGGCCAAACGGAGTACAAGGGCAAGCTGGAGAGCATCGACTCGTACATGAACGTGCTGCTGCGGGATACGGAAGAGTTCATTGATGGCAAGAACACGGGAACTCTGGGTCTTGTGCTGATCAGGTGCGTATCAGTTGGTTGCTACTTGGGCGCGGGAGGGTCGATCTTCCAGAGGGAGACACCCTCGGGGCCCAAACCAACCCAGCCCAGATAAGTCCTCTTCTCCGACAGTCGCTGACCTTCTGTCCCTCAATCTAGATGCAACAACATCCTCTGGATGGGCTCCGCCGACAACGTCGAGATGACGGACCTTGGCCTACGGTAAAAAAAAAAAAAATGGACGCGGAAGGCGGTGTTTTTTTCTCTCATCCATCCATTCGAATCCAGTTGATACCTACCTACCTACGTACCCTACCATGGCGAGTAAGGAAGGGGGGAATGCGATCCGATCCTTCTCTTCTTTTCAGCTATCGTATACCAAAATCGAAAGATCTTCATCCGACGGGAACAAGGCACCAAAACTATGCACCCGTCTTGACGCAGACCACAGACAAAAGACGTTGATGGGCTTCGGGAGGAAGGGTAAGGGGAGGGATCAAAGGGTTGATTGCGTGGAGGCTCGCCGGTTGGATGGGTGTTGAAAGAAGCGAAGGGGAGTTGCACCCAATACTTTGCATTTGACTTTATTTTCTCTTTTCTATTTGTCTTCTGGAATAAGGCGTTCGATTGAATATCATTTTCCTCTTTCGATGGTGAATTGTTTTGAGGTCAGTTTGTGGGCTTTCTAGGGCACGAGATTGTGCGGGGCTTTGCTGATGGGCTTGATGGCTTGTCTGATGTCTGGCTTTGGAAGGTTGAGGCATGGGATGGTCTTTTGTGTGAGTAGTGAGGATGACTTTGGCTTATTGTTTTGGTTATAAGTGGCCATTTCAGCTACCGTAGCTCTTGTTGTTTCTGTTGCCTTGACAGGTTCGAGACCAGAGCAGATAAAGCAGCCAAGTCGATTGTGATCCTCATGCTTTAGCTTGGTTAAGTGCATGCCATACGCGCCTGTAGTTCACACTATGGCTCTAGTGATTTGCAGTGAGCCCTGAGCAGTGGCAGCTGACACAAGACGTTATCTACAACACAGCATACTCGTACTCTACTGCTCCACTATGTAAAGACTCACATCAATGGTCCTAAGCTTCGATAAGCAGTTGTTCTGAATGATTAGAAGTACCCAATGGTGAGCGGATATTTAAGTAGACTTATGCCGGTGTTTCAATGAGCTTTGCTACGAGCACGATAACGATTAGTACCTTTATTTAGGAGAAGTTCTCGAAGAGCTGAGATGAAGTTCATCTGACTTAGCCTCACAGGCCCCGAGCCTCTTTCCACCTTTGCATGATGCTTATATATACCATACTGAAAATAAGACTGCAATAAGAATAATTCACCGTCATCTGAGGCAGCTCTATCAATCGTCGGCCGGAAACATTTGTGCTTCATGGACAGAAATCAGCTTGTTAGTACCTAAATGTCTGCGTTAACTTCATTCAAGTCCCGATGCACTGGAGTATAATGCATTCGAGGTCGGTGGTACCGTACACAGGGCGGCCAAACGAGGGGCAGAATGCGACTTCTCCCCGCATCGGCTCTTCTTCGGGATCTTCTTCTTGATACTCCCTTTTCCCAGCCTGACAACATCGCCAATATGAAGAAGCGCGCGAACAGAGAAAAGGCCAGAGCCCCTTGTCTCTCCTCGCAGTGACACGTTACCCCCCTCCATTCGCATCACTCTCTTCATCCCCCGCGCCCGTTGGGAAGCCTGTGCTCATCACGACTCACTCCACCGAGCCTTCCCTGGCGTCCTGCGGTGGCGACCGCGGATAGAAACCCCTCGGGTAATTTAGAACCACCGCGAGGTTCGAGCCCCTTCTCGCTGGGCGCGGGTTACCGATATTCGAACAGCCTCGTCTCGGTTGTCCTACTCGCTTTGGAAAGGGGTCTCGTCAGGCACTGGCAAAAGTCCCGTCCATCTCAGCAAGGCCATCATCATCATGCATGAATTGTGCAGCGGGAGCTCCGCAGCAGGAGCAACAGCGTCCCGCCCGGTGTTTCGTGGCCGCAAATGACGACTCTGTGCGCCTTCATGCACAAGAAGAGAGAGAGAGAGCCTTTTACGGAACTCTTCTCGATCACTGGAACCATGGATGAAGCAGGTCAACCGATCCCCAATGACGATCCACAGAACCCTTCCCCTCCGCCCTTTCCGCTCGCAGGCCCGCCATGGATCTACTGGTTTCATCTCCATATGGTAAAGTTTGAAGAGATTGTGGAAACTCCACGAGAAAAA